CCACCCCCACCCAAGTATCTGACCAGCTCAATAAAGTACACCCCCCCATCCACAGTACCATTAGCTCAATAAAGTACATTAGTATGTTGTTTAGGTCTTTTTCCACCAGGCTTTGCCAGCTTGGCTACTGGGACTGTCATTGTCAGCGACTGTTTCCCGCCTGGAAGGCAGCATTTTAGGGATGGTGCCAGGAAACCCTTTGGAGTCATGGGAGGATGTTCGGTGAAGGGGTTTGGCCATCATCCCTGAAGAGGCGTCCTGTCCGGACTTAGGTGTCGTGGCACTGATGGCCGATTCTTCATCTCCTGAGGAGTTAACACATCTACAGTTAACATTCTAGACCATCTTCAAACACCACATAGCCTTGGTTTTGTAAGACACACTCCAAAATTTGATTGTCATTAATGCAAGTGTACTGAATTTGGACCAGCAGTTTCACTTTTCATAGATTGTAAACCAAGCAAAAAATATAAAGGATATTTGAGAATTCTATGTTACAAGTTCAAAACTGATTTCGTTGGCATTCATTTCATACCCAAATGATTATACAACAAATTACATGGGACGCTTAATGTACAGTAGCTTGGTCATTGTAGATTATACAGTATAACCCCGATATACGACCATCTTTGATTCAAGAACATTTTGGTGGTACAACAAGTTGTGTGGCACAGCGAGTGGTATATATGTATAGCTGACCTACATTTTAAAAAGAAAAAGGAATTCAAAGCCATATCTCTGTAGCATAGCAAAGTCACTGTGACCTTTTATTTGACATTTCACTGATTTTGCAATAAACTGGTTTCAGTGGTATCATGATCATCACAGAAATGTATACAAGAAATGCTCAAGAAACAGCTTTTTCTTCATCAAAACCCAAAGTATTCATTGGTACATGTAAGTCACAGTGACGTAGTTTTGTTATGTAAAGCACACATGGACAACTATCTATTTCTCCTCTACAGCTTTCATCCTACAGTTTGATAACGACAATATGAAAAACAGAGAAAAAAACTGTAAGTGTTAATGAAGTGGTGATTCCCAGGGAAGGTGACTGTAATCCAACTTTAGGTGGAGGATAAAATGAGTGAGAGGGACTTTCTACCAAACCACAACCTACTAAAATACCAAACTATAACTAGTAGCAAACAGAATTAACAGCAGGTTATGGTGATGACTTCCGTTGCAATATCCAAACACAGTAACTGACAGTCGAAGAATTCTAGATAAATAAATCACATTCTGCTTTTTCAAGCGGGATCAATAGCGAATAATTGTGATGACGTCATATTCAGTTATGTTAAGTTACAGCGACGTCATTAAATGTTGATGCAATAGTAAGGTTAATGTGACATCATCAACATGAGCGTCATGATTACGCACGACTTACAGGTAAAGCCCGTTTACTGGCTGACAAATGTCTGAGCACAAAGGTTTGAAATAGAGTAACTGCATGTTCCCATTCATTTTACGAATTAGTTTCCTCTTTTGCAGAGTGATGTAGTTTACAACCATTACCATCTTTCTGGGTGGCCTGGCGTTCGGCTTTGCTTTTAACATGGCCAGCATACAGTTTTTTCCCTTTCCACATTTTGCCATCTATTTCCTTGATCAGTTCCTCAGCTTTACTCTTGTTAACATGAGAAAACTTAACAAAAGCGGACCGAAACCTGAAATTACAATATCAGAAACTAAGTGTAGATTATACACTATCATCGTGTAAGTAGTTTGGATACCAATGGACGTAAAACTACCTAACAATTGTAATTAGTATAAAGTTTGAAACCTTTCTGTATATTAACCAATATATATTTCTGGCTTAATATCCTTTATACAAAATTTAATAAATAGCTTTCCTTCAATTTATTCCTGATTGAGCTATCCTTAAACAAAAACTTTGACTAGAGTAAACAATGCGTCCTACCTTTTTCCAGGATCATTAGAAATGTGGTTAAATTTGAGTTTGAATGGTGAATATTTGGACAATAATTCTTCCAGTTCATTCTGAAAGAAAAAAAAACATTGAAATTTGTGAACAAAAACAAATTTCTAGATTGGAAAACTCAGTAATAACAAGAGGCCTTGATGGCTTGTCTAGCTTACTTGGTAAAAATATCAACTTTATTTATTTTACAACAATTATGAAACAAGTTATTTCAACTTATATCAATCACTCTTTTTGGCCCTGATGTTAGTGTGCAGGGGTCTTAGTGTGGGCGAAAACAAGAGTACGTGGAGAAAATCCAAGTGGTCAAGCAGGTGACCCCATACCATTTCACGTCCAATCGGGGAATCGAACCCCGGCCACCTTGGTGAAAGGCAAGTCGCTATCCACTGCACCATCCGACCACCAATTTACTTGTTATAGCAGTCATATAAAAATCTTTCCTTTGCCATCATTTTGGCCTAGTTTTTTCTACTTTGCATCCTAATCAAAGTTGTGTTGATACTATTAAATTCACGTCTAAATTCTCTTATTTTTCTTTTAATTAATATTTTTATTGCAAATATTTTCCCTTCTAGAGGGCAGTATCCAGGAAGATAACACCAATTGATTGCTAGGTCCCAAGAACTAAGGATGTACCAGGCAAATTAGATTGAGATTTATGTATTATATTGTTATTGTTGTGGAGGCACGGTAGTCTAGTGGCAAGACGCCGGGCTCGTGACCAAAGGGATGTGGGTTCGAGTCACATCACGGTACTGTGTTGTATCCTTGAAATAGATACTTTACTCCGCTTGTTCCAGTCTACTCAGCTGTAAATGAGTACGTGCATGGTTGGGAAGTGCTAGAATTGTTGATTGCTAGCTGTGAGTGCCGAAACGGCAGCACCGACTGTATGCTCCCCAGGGAGTTGAGAAAGATATTGGCTGGTTGCAAAGGCCCTATAACCAAGGATAATAATTTGTGAACCGCTTTGAGACAACCTGCGAACTAGGTTGCGATTAAGCGGTATATAAGAACCTCAAATTAGTATTGTTAAGGGGGGGGGGGGGTCAATCTTTTCCATTTCATGATCATAGGATTATATCCTTATCCCAATATTTAATCGATGTAGTACTGCTGCATTTATTTCTTAATGCCAAGCAACTAGATTGACAACAAACAATGGACATAAAAAGTGAAAATAAATAGTATAACATGTTTGCCATGCTTAACAGCTTTTCATACCTATGTACTGGCATAATCTGAACTGCATACGTCTTAATTAACTTTCATCAACTAATGTATGGCAAAGTTAATTCAAATTAAAACTTTTTAAAGGTGGTTATTTGTTATTTCCAGAAATAAACAAAGCTTATACCTCTCCAATAACAGGAGGAATATTTCCAACATAGACTTCCACAAGTCTCTCGTAAGTCCCTGTAAAACAAGAACATTTTTTTACATTGACATCTGAAAAATCATCATAAAAACAACATTTTGAATTGAGTTGTAGATAACAAATATCTACAAGCTAGTTCATGCAAAAACCAACAAAATTACTCATTACAAAAGATGACAGGTAACCTACAAACTAGGTGATTAAAAACTAACATTTAACTCATTTGATGATGACAAATACAGCAAAACACCTTAAGTACAAACATGCTTATTGCAATTTCCTGCGTATTGCGAATGCATTCTGATTTTCAATAATTAATAAATGCTTTTATATGCCTTGTATGACTACTGAACGCAGACAGCTGTGTTTTCAATGACAATATATAGGTGTTGGGTTGTTTATGTAATGTAATATGATATGCTTTGTATGTGCTATAAAAAGACTATTGAATACAGTGAATTATGTTTTTGATAACAATATAACTGTAAGGTGTTAAGTTGAGACCGAGGATGCTGAAGTTGAGGTCACCATGGTGGGTTTCGTCAATATAAACTGTGATGTGTTTACATGATGTAGATGTCCAATATTGAAGTTTTTAAGGTGTAGTCTACTCAATGTTTTAGGAAGTAAGGAGGAGAAGGGTGAGGGAGAGGAGGAGGGAGAGGAGAAGGGAGAGGAGAATGGTGAGGAAGAGGATGAGGGAGAGGAGAAGGATGAGGGAGAGTAGGAGGGTGAGGGAGAGGAGGAGGGAGAGGAGAAGGGTGAGGGAGAGGAAGAGGGAGAGGAGGAGAGAGAGGAGAAGGGTGAGGGAGAGGAGGAGGGTGAGGAGGAGGGAGAGGAGAAGGGTGAGGGAGAGAAGAAGGGAGAGGAGAAGGGTGAGGGAGGATGTGGGTGAGGGTGAGGAGGAGGGAGAGGAGAAGGGTGAGGAAGAGGAGGGAGAGGAAAAGGGAGAGAAGAAGGGTGAGGGAGATGAGGAGGGAGAGGAGAAGGGAGAGAAGGGAGAGGAGGGAGAGGAGAAGGATGAGGGAGAGTAGGAGGGAGAGGAGGAGGGGGAGGAGGAGGGAGAGGAGAAGGGTGAGGGAGAGAAGAAGGGAGAGGAGAAGGGTGAGGGAGGATGTGGGTGAGGGGGAGGAGGAGGGAGAGGAGAAGGGTGAGGGAGAGGAGGGGGAGGAGAAGGGAGAGAAGAAGGTGAGGGAGAGGAGGAGGGAGAGGAGAAGGGGGAGGGAGAGAAGGAGGGAGAGGAGAAGGGTGAGAAGGGAGAGGAGGAGGGAGAGGAGAAGGATGAGGGAGCGTAGGAGGGAGAGGAGAAGGGAGAGAAGGGAGAGGAGGAGGGGGAGGAGAAGGGTGAGGGAGAGAAGGAGGGAGAGGAGAAGGGAGAGAAGGGAGAGGAGGAAGGTGAGGAGGAGGGAGAGGAGAAGGGTGAGGAAGAGGAGGGAGAGGAAAAGGGAGAGAAGAAGGGAGAGGGAGATGAGGAGGGAGAGGAGAAGGGAGAGAAGGGAGAGGAGGAAGGTGAGGAGGAGGGAGAGGAGAAGGGTGAGGGAGAGAAGGAGGGAGAGGAGAAGGGAGAGGGAGGATGTGGGTGAGGGTGAGGAGGAGGGAGAGGAGAAGGGTGAGGGAGAGGAGGGAGAGGAGGAGGGAGAGGAGAAGGATGAGGGAGCGTAGGAGGGAGAGGAGAAGGGAGAGAAGGGAGAGGAGGAGGGGGAGGAGAAGGGTGAGGGAGAGGAGGGAGAGGAGAAGGGAGAGAAGAAGGGGAGGGAGAGGAGGAGGGTGAGGAGGAGGGAGAGGAGAAGGGGGAGGGAGAGAAGGAGGGAGAGGAGAAGGGGGAGAAGGGAGAGGAGGAGGGAGAGGAGAAGGATGAGGGATAGTAGGAGGGAGAGGAGAAGGGAGAGAAGGGAGAGGAGAAGGGTGAGGGAGAGAAGGAGGGAGAGGAGAAGGGTGAGAAGGGAGAGGAGGAGGGAGAGGAGAAGGATGAGGGATAGTAGGAGGGAGAGGAGAAGGGAGAGAAGGGAGAGGAGGAGGGAGAGGAGAAGGGTGAGAAGGGAGAGGAGGAGGGAGAGGAGAAGGATGAGGGATAGTAGGAGGGAGAGGAGAAGGGAGAGAAGGGAGAGGACGAGGGAGAGGAGAAGGGTGAGGGAGAGAAGGAGGGAGAGGAGAAGGGAGAGAAGGGAGAGGAGGAGGGAGAGGAGAAGGATGAGGGAGCGTAGGAGGGAGAGGAGAAGGGAGAGAAGGGAGAGGAGGAGGGAGAGGAGAAGGATGAGGGAGCGTAGGAGGGAGAGGAGAAGGGAGAGAAGGGAGAGGAGGAGGGGGAGGAGAAGGGTGAGGGAGAGGAGGGAGAGGAGGAGGGAGAGGAGAAGGGTGAGGGAGAGGAGGGAGAGAAGGGAGAGGAGAAGAGTGAGGGAGAGGAGGGAGAGGAGGATGAGGAGGGAGAGGAGGGAGAGGAGAAGGGAGAGAAGAAGGTGAGGGAGAGGAGAAGGATGAGGGAGAGTAGGACGGAGAGGAGGGAGAGGAGGGAGAGGAGAAGTGAGAGAAGAAGGTGAGGGAGAGGAGGAGGGAGAGGAGAAGGATGAGGGAGAGTAGGAGGGAGAGAAGAAGGGAGAGAAGGGAGAGGAGGAGGGTGAGGAGAAGGATGAGGGAGAGTAGGAGGGAGAGAAGAAGGGAGAGAAGGGAGAGGAGGAGGGTGAGGAGGAGGGAGAGGAGAAGGGTGAGGGAGAGGAGGGAGAGGAGAAGGGAGAGGAGAAGAGGGAGGGAGAGGAGGGAGAGGAGGGAGAGGAGGGAGAGGAGAAGGGAGAGAAGAAGGGTGAGGGAGAGGAGGAGGGAGAGGAGAAGGATGAGGGAGAGGAGAAGGGAGAGAAGGGAGAGGAGGAGGAGGGGGAGGAGGAGGAGGGAGAGGAGAAGGGGGAGGGAGAGTAGGAGGGAGAGGAGAAGGGAGAGAAGGGAGAGGAGGAGGAGGGTGAGGAGGAGGAGGGAGAGGAGAAGGGTGAGGGAGAGTAGGAGGGAGAGGAGAAGGGAGAGAAGGGAGAGGAGGAGGGTGAGGAGGAGGGAGTGGAGAAGGTTGAGGGAGAGAAGGAGGGAGAGGAGGAGGGTGAGGAGGAGGAGGAGGAGGGAGAGGAGAAGGGTGAGGGAGAGGAGGGAGAGGAGGGAGAGGAGAAGGGAGAGAAGAAGGTGAGGGAGAGGAGGGAGAGGAAAAGGGAGAGGAGAAGGGTGAGGGAGAGGAGGGAGAGGAGGGAGAGGAGAAGGGAGAGAAGAAGGTGAGGGAGAGGAGGGAGAGGAGAAGGGAGAGGAGAAGAGGGAGGGAGAGGAGGGAGAGGAGGGAGAGGAGAAGGGAGAGAAGAAGGTGAGGGAGAGGAGGAGGGAGAGGGGAAGGATGAGGGAGAGTAGGAGGGAGAGGAGGGAGAGGAGGGAGAGGAGGGAGAGAAGAAGGGAGAGAAGAAGGTGAGGGAGAGGAGGAGGGAGAGGAGAAGAGTGAGGGAGAGGAGGGAGAGGAGGGAGAGGAGAAGGATGAGGGAGAGTAGGAGGGAGAGGAGGGAGAGGAGGGAGAGGAGAAGAGTGAGGGAGAGGAGGGAGAGGAGGAGGAGGAGGGAGAGGAGAAGGGTGAGGGAGAGAAGGAGGGAGAGGAGAAGGGAGAGAAGGGAGAGGAGGAGGGGGAGGGAGAGGAGAAGGGTGAGGGAGAAGAGGAGGGTGAGGGAGAGGAGAAGGGTGAGGGAGAAGAGGAGGATGAGGGATAGGAGAAGGGGGAGGGAAAGGAGGAGGGTGAGGGAGAGGAGAAGGGTGAGGGAGAAGAGGAGGGTGAGGGAGAGGAGGAGGGTGAGGGAGAAGAGGAGGGTGAGGAGAAGGGTGAGGGAAAGGAGGAGGGTGAGGAGGGAGAGGAAGGGGTGAGGGAGAGGAGGAGGGTGAGGGAGAGGAGGAGGGTGAGGGAGAGGAGGTAGATTTGGTCATCAGTGTCACTAGGGCGACAGCTAATTTTAATGCAACATCCTGTTTTCTCAAGGCTCAATTGGAGGCTGTGGCAGTAACGATGCAGCCTCTCATGTTAAGTTACAGCAAAAAGTGATAACAGAATTTCTAAATGAGCATCAAACTGTGAGCATCGTGTGTATATACATTCAATGTATGTTAAGATAAATTAAAACGTTCCCAGTGATTTGTGTTTACGTTCTTTTATCCATATTTTCATATAGCATTTTTTTTTTAAATAACAATCAAATTTCAGTTTATACATAATACAAACTACCTTTATAACGAATTGATTGAGTAGGTTCCTGGGTATTCATTATAGTGCGTTACTGTACATGTATCTACAAACTTGGTGATAATAAAAGGCCCAGAAGGCCTGTATCACTTATGTCATTTGTTATCTGAACTAGACCTGACGGAAATGTTTCTGTTAACTTAAGAGATTGTTGGCTTTCTCAGATGTCTTATTGTTTTTAGTCTTAATGTTTCAATGAATTCCACATTTGGTTAAAACTGATAAGTAATTTGATGGAATTGAAAATTAGTCCAAAATGTCTCAGCTTGTAAGAGAACAAGGAGTCTATTTTTTTGGTCTCAACACAGCACCTATTCAGGAGTATCAGAGAATGAATCGTATAAAGTTTGGTTAGCTTTTGTCTTGTAAGAGTTGAGAAAAAGTTAAGAATGTCTCAGTCAATCAGTAAATAACAGATGGTCATTTTTATACTGAGATTTGGTTCGAAAATTTGATACATAAAATCTCAGCACGTGTGGGGTTCCAAAGTCTTCTACTGCAACTACACATTATGGTCAGGTATGAACTAATATTAGTTTACATCTGTTGTTCATCACAGTATGTATACCCAGAACATGTACTGATGTTTATTTTATTGTTTAATAGGCAACGGACTCCCACATATGTTTCCAGTAAATGATGGGTTGTGTCAACAAAAGGTATCTGCCAATTAATACAAAACACTGTTAAAACGGCTCTGCATTAGAGATGTACTAGTAAAGGATTTTTTAGATTTCTGCAAACAAGAGTTCAGTAAAAATGTTTACCATCCTTTAGCATATAAGAATCGGATACAATTTTTATATTGAGTTTTTCTCCAAATGTCTTGAGTACTGCAACAGCATGATCCTTCACTGCAAACCGCAAATAGATCCACCTGAATAAAAAAAGTATTGAAAAGAATATCAGCAAAGATCCCTATAAATAACTTTAACGGACATACAAAGCACATGATTCCTGAATACACCCAGATTGATTCCCATGTATAAAACTGTAGACATTAGTACCATTGCTCTGGTATGTTTCCAGGACATCAACTGAAGTTCTTACCATTGGGTGAATGATTGCTAACATTGGGTAAACCTGAGGAGAGTAGCCCAAAAGTTCTTTATTGGTCACTTGGATTTTTAAGCAATCATAGCAAAATATTTTCATTAAAAGTAATGCTGTACGAGTACAGCAAATATTCCTTACTTTAAGTGTTCTGACTCTCGAGAGCGAAGGAGTCAATTCCAATCATACCACATTTGATTACTTGGCCCCATTAGGATGTTTTACAGCAAATTTAATTGAAATATTATCAATTGGGCAGGAGGAGTAGGATATTGAAGACTTTGAAGTACCCGATTGTATCCTTTAGGGCATTGCTCCAGAGCCCATAGAGAGTTACACTTCCTTATTGTTTATATGATTAATTTCAAGGAATTAAGGATAAAATGTGCTTCATGATAAGTAGGAGACATTTGAATGCATGTGTATACAGTTAAAAGGCCAAGATTATGACCCTCGTCTGGGCTAAAGTTCCAAAGGGTTGGCTAGACCGTAGACCTTATCCTGGTAGCATGTGTTTTGGGATAACAACAGTTTTCAAGTTATGAACCGGGGACTAAGTCCCCAGTAGAAGGGCTGAATCCCTGGACAATCCAGGTGGTAGCATGATTAGTATGACTATTCAAACCTAGCAATAACCTATGATCATTGTTACAGGGTATAGATCTTAACAATTTCCATGTTACTAACTAGAGATAAAAGTCTCTAGGGGCAAGGCCAGGCCCCTCAGCGCAATCCATGTAGTATGAATGAACTTGTCTCTTCATGCCTAAGGATTGTTTATATTATTTAAGGAATGGGATCTCAACCCTCTCCATATAATGACTAATGACTCAAGTCTAGTATTAAAGGATGGGGGGGGGGCATGTTTTAGGTTTGTGTGGGTGAAGGAGGCCTGTTTTAGGTGGGTGTGGGGGAGGGGGGGCCGTTTTAGGTGTGTGTGGGTGTGGGGGCTTGTTTTAGGGGTGTGTGGGTGAGGGGGGGCTGTTTTAGGTGTGTGTGGGGGGGGGGGGCGTGTTTTAGGTGTGTGTGGGGGGGGGGGGCGTGTTTTAGGTGTGTGTGGGGGTGGGGGCTTGTTTTAGGTGTGTGTGGGGGGGGGGGATCTGTTTTAGGTGTGTGTGGGTGGGGGGGGCCTGTTTTAGGGGTGTGTGGAGGAGGGGGCATGTTTTAGGTGTGGGTGGGTGATGGGGGCCTGTTTAAGGTGTGTGTGGGTGAGGGGGACCTGTTTTAGGTGTGGGTGAGGGGCATGTTACAGTACATCATGTTATATGTCTGAATGGAACTGGTGTTGGTAGTATGAATGAACTTGTCTCTTCATGCCTAAGGATTGTTTATATTATTTAAGGAATGGGATCTTAACCCTCTCCATATTATGACTAATGACTCAAGTCTAGTATTAAACGATGGGGGTGGCGGCATGTTTTAGGTTTGTGTGGGTGCCGGAGGCCTGTTTTAGGTGTGTGGGGGTGGGGGGGGGGGGGTTGTTTTAGGTGGGTGTGGGGGAGGGGGGGCCGTTTTAGGTGTGTGTGGGTGTGGGGGCTTGTTTTAGGGGTGTGTGGGTGAGGGGGGGGCCTGTTTTAGGTGGGGGTGAGGGTCATGTTACAGAACATCATGTTATATGTCTGAATGGAACTGGTGTTGGTAGTATGAATGAACTTGTCTCTTCATGCCTAAGGATTGTTTATATTATTTAAAGAATGGGATCTCAACCCTCTCCATATAATGATTAATGACTCAAGTCTAGTATTAAAGGTTGGGGGTGGGGGCATGTTTTAGGTTTGTGTGGGTGAAGGAGGCCTGTTTTAGGTGTGTGGGGGTGGGGGGGGGGGGGTTGTTTTAGGTGGGTGTGGGGGAGGGGGGGCCGTTTTAGGTGTGTGTGGGTGAGGGAGGCCTGTTTTAGGTGTGTGGGGGTGGGGGGGGCGTGTTTGGGGTGTGTGTGGGTGAGGGGCGCCTGTTTTAGGTGTGTGTGGAGGAGGGGGCATGTTTTAGGTGTGTGTGGGTGATGGGGTCCTGTTTAAGGTGTGTGTGGGTGAGGGGGGGTGGGCCTGTTTTAGGTGTGGGTGAGGGTCATGTTACAGTACATCATGTTATATGTCTGAATGGAACTGGTGTTGCATACCATCGGAAACATCATTTTAAAAATGCATTTCAATCCTTGAGCAAAAGTTAGATATGAATGTAAATATTCTGTGATGAATATGAGTTGATACAGTCAATGTTTTGATTCAAACCAAAAAACAATTTACCAATCATCTCCATCAACCTCAGTTACTGTACCACATTCGGCAAACTTCTTCTCAATATCCTGTAATGAACAACAATGTCATACAACAACATTTCTCACCACTCATCTGTTATAACTTACACAAGTCTAACAACGCATACCTGACTCATAAATAACATAAGAATGTACCTGGTGTATATTTCACAGTCACACCACTACAAATACACTCTAAATATTCAATGGCCATTAAAGCATAATTCATTAGGCATGCATCTTACATGAAATCATTACTTGGATATGTTTCGAAACTGTCTCAGTCTCTGGTTATTTCAATAACACAAACACTAACTAAATAAAGTCTCATATTTTGACAGAAAATACTCTTGTTTATAAATAAATTCCTCATTATACCGATATTGTTGATCCCTTTGCTTCTTTCCTCTTCTTGTACTTCAAAGTGTAAAGTCCTTTGTAGTTTGTAGTGAAATTAGCAATCATCTGTTGATTGATGACAGCTGTAACATAAACATAAAACAGTACAAACAGTGGCATCTCGAACAGTTGTAACACAAACAAAACATAACAGTACAAACAGTGGCATCTCAAACAGTTGTAACACAAACAAAACATACAACAGTAAAAACAGTGGCATCTCGAACAGATGTAACACAAACAAAACATAAAACAATACAAACAGTGGCATCTCGAGCAGTTGTAACACAAACAAAACATACAACAGTACAAACAGTGGCATCTCAAACAGTTGCAACACAAACAAAACATAAAACAGAACAAACAGTGGCATCTCGAACAGTTGGAACACAAACAAAACATAAAACAGCACAAAAAGTGGCAGCGCGAACCATTGTAACACAAACAAAACATAAAACAATACAAAAAATGGCGTCTCGAGCAATTGTAACAAAAACAAATGATAAAACAGTACAAACAGTGGCTTCACGAACAATTGTAACACAAACAAAACATAATACAGTACAACCAGTGGCATCTCGAACAGTTGTAACATAAACAAAACATAAAACAGTACAAAAAGTGGCATATCGAACAATTGTAACACAAACAAAACATAAAAAAGTACAAACAGTGGCATCTGGAACAGGTGTAACACAAACAAAACATAAAACGGTACAAACAGTGGCATCTCGAACAGTTGTAACACAACAAAACATAAAACAGTACAAAAAGTGGCATCTTGAACAATTGTAACACAAACAAAACATCAAACAGTACAAACAGTGGCATCTCGAAAAATTGTAACACAAACAAAACATAATACAGTACAAACAGTGGCATCTCGAGCAGTTGTAACACAAACAAAACATAACAGTACAAACAGTGGCATCTCAAACAGTTGCAACACAAACAAAACATAAAACAGAACAAACAGTGGCATCTCGAACAGTTGGAACACAAACAAAACATAAAACAGCACAAAAAGTGGCAGCGCGAACCATTGTAACACAAACAAAACATAATACAGTACAAACAGTGGCATCTCGAGCAGTTGTAACACAAACAAAACATAACAGTACAAACAGTGGCATCTCGAGCAGTTGTAACACAAACAAAACATAAAACGGTACAAACAGTGGCATCTCGAACGATTGATACACAAACAAAACATAAAAAGGTACAAACAGTGGCATCTCGAACAGTTGGAACACAAACAAAACATAAAACAGCACAAAAAGTGGCAGCGCGAACCATTGTAACACAAACAAAACATAATACAGTACAAACAGTGGCATCTCGAAAAATTGTAACACAAACAAAACATAATACAGTACAAACAGTGGCATCTCGAGCAGTTGTAACACAAACAAAACATACAACAGTAAAAACAGTGGCATCTCGAACAGATGTAACACAAACAAAACATAAAAAAGTACAAACAGTGGCATCTGGAACAGTTGTAACACAAACAAAACATACAACAGTACAAACAGTGGCATCTCAAACAGTGGTAACACAAACAAAACATAAAACAATACAAACAGTGGCATCTCGAGCAGTTGTAACACAAACAAAACATTAAACAGTACAAACAGTGGCATCTCAAACAGTTGCAACACAAACAAAACATAAAACAGCACAAAAAGTGGCAGCGCGAACCATTGTAACACAAACAAAACATAATACAGTACAAACAGTGGCATCTCGAAAAATTGTAACACAAACAAAACATAATACAGTACAAACAGTGGCATCTCGAAAAATTGTAACACAAACAAAACATAATACAGTACAAACAGTGGCATCTCGAAAAATTGTAACACAAACAAAACATAAAGAGGTACAAACAGTGGCATCTCGAACAGTTGGAACACAAACAAAACATAAAACAGAACAAACAGTGGCATCTCGAACAGTTGAAACACAACAAAACATAAAACAGTACAAACAGTGGAATCTCGAACAGTTGTAACACAACAAAAAATAAAACAGTACAAACAGTGGCATCTCAAACAGTTGCAACACAAACAAAACATAAAACAGAACAAACAGTGGCATCTCGAACAGTTGTAACACAAACAAAACATAAAACAGCATAAATACTTACTTGCCAACTTTTGGAATTTCAATGGAGGAGATTACATGTGCTCAGAATTAAAAGCATAAATGAAATGTGTGTATGTATACCCTTGGGGAAAATGATACTTTTAAATGGCATTTTTTGAGCTGTTCTTTCAGATGAAATCATCAAATGTTAGAAATAGGAAAAGTTTATCAAATTTCCGGTTGAAAATGCTCAATTTAAGGGTTCAAAATCCTGAGACTGAGTTGGCAAGTATGAAATAGTCTCTGTTGACATTCCTCAGTCAAGTGTTAGCTGCAGACCTTTAGTTGCTTATGTAACAGGAAAGAAAAAATACATCCACCTCCGAGCTCTATATATCAGTTGCTCCGACCTGGACCTCCAAGCTCTATATATATATAGTTGCTCCGACCTGGACCTCGGAGCTCTATATATACAGTTGCTCCGACCTGGACCTCCGAACTCTATATATATACATTTGCTCTGACCTGGCCCTCCGAGCTCTATATATAGACATTTGCTCCTACCTGGACCTCCTAGCTCTATATATATACATTTGCTCTGACCTGGCCCTCCGAGCTCTATATATCAGTTGCTCCGACCTGGACCTCCGAACTCTATATATATACAGTTGTTCCGACCTGGACCTCCAAGGTCTATATATATATAGTTGTTCCGACCTGGACCTCCAAGGTCTATATATATATAGTTGTTCCGACGTGGACCTCCAAGCTCTATATATATACAGTTGCTCCTACCTGGACCTCCAAGCTCTATATATATACAGTTGTTCCGACCTGAACCTCCAAGCTCTATATATATATAGTTGCTCCTACCTGGACCGCCGAGCTCTATATATATACAGTTGCTCCTACCTGGACCTCCGAGCTCTATATATATACAGTTGCTCCTACCTGGACCTCCAAGCTCTATATATATACAGTTGCTCCGACCTGGACCTCCGAGCTCTATATATATACAGTTGCTCCTACCTGGACCTCCGAGCTCTATATATATACAGTTGCTCCTACCTGGACCTCCTAGCTATATACAGTTGCTCCTACCTGGACCTCCGAGCTATATACAGTTGCTCCTACCTGGACCTCCGAGCTCTATATATACAGTTGCTCCGACCTGGACCTCCGAGCTATATACAGTTGCTCCTACTGATGAGCTACCTCATTCCAAACCTTCCTCCCTTCTTCAACAAAGCCTTCAAGCCAGAAGACACACAAGCCACTATACCACCTTCTGTGGGTATATTTAGTATTAGTTATGTAACAGGAAAAGGAAAAAAAACAGATCCAATAGGATTCAAAGCCATGACCTTGAATTTTAGAAGGTTGCTCTATTACCAACTTAGCCTTAGTTTCCTCTGCCCCTTACAGATATATGTCTCAGTCTGGTGTGGGTTCCTCTGGCCCTGACACCAGAAATAGACATTTGGACAGATAGATGTCTGATGTGGGGGCCCCACACCAGACATTTATCTGTCAAAATGTCTAAGTCTGGTTTTTATTTATATTTATGTGTCTAGGTTTACTACCTTGCTTATTGTGGCCACCTTTCTTTTCGGCTTGTCCATCAACTAGTAATAACTCCTTGGAACTCATGGTTCTATCACATATACCCACAGCTGTTTCCTGGAAAAAAATAATAAAAAAAACATGTTTTTTAAAGTAAATTATTTTTAAATTAGTAACTTCATGTATTACAAAGTGCCCCGTTATATCTTAGCCTATTGTATAAATATATTTTTTTCAATCTTCAAGCTACTTAAATTTGGTGACAATTTGGTATTAAGGGTACCAACATTTTGATATTGGATTGCTTTGATACTTCCCAAAAATTGTTTCAATATTTTCCAAAGATTTTCAGTATTAGACCCAACGTTTCCACCCAACACTGTTTTTGCTGCTTTTTTGTGTTTGTGTGTAGCTGATTTTATATCATAAGATTCTTCAAGGGTTTTTCCATTTTCCTTTTAGGTACCAAACTACTAGGTTACCAACACATCAAAGGTTGGGTTTAATGGTCAAGATACATTTTATAGCCATTATATAGGTAACATAGCCTTGTGATTTTTAAATAAAAAATTTGTAATACATTTATTTGTCTTAAAATTCTGAAAAATATTTAATCGTTACGTGAGACAGATGTTATTATTTCCACCACAAGAGTTAATTTAGCTGCAGATACACCAATACATTCTTAATGGCCTTTCCTTTGTCATAGTCTGTCATTTGAATCAATCAAGTTTCATCTTGTCAAGATTAATTTGGATTTGTGTATATTGGTATAAAAATTGAGAAAATTTTAATAAAAATCAGAGTAGAGTTTGAATCAGTCTTATCAACCAAAGATATTATATCACCACGAATTATCAACCGAATAATTTTATCTTGAGTACTAAGCTTATATATATATATATCAGCTGAATATTTGGTAAAGATTATCGTTCCCCACTAGACAGGTGAAAGTTTCACTGAAACCACACTCATTCAGTTTCACTCACCGGCTATATTATCATGTTTATCAACAAACTGACCATGTCAACAGTATCAACAACGTTATTTATAAAATGCAATCAAACAACTAAAGTAAAATTGGCTTACATAAAATAAACTCACTTTCCAACTTCACTTTTCACTTCAGTCTACCGGAAGTTTACGCGATACTAAGGACAAACTAATATGAAAGACAATATCCGGAGTTCATCAACTTCGTTCATTTATTGTTGACTTAAAATCACATATGATCAAGGATATTTCATTTTCGTTGCTTCTTAAAACCGAATTATGTATTTATAGCAGGGTGACGTATAAAATAAACTGCACAGCAGAATCATCCTCATAATTTTTAATTTCTTCACGCTCTTCTGCCGGTGCCGTTTTCGTTTATCGCGGTCAGAACGATTTTGTCGCTTAGACCTGAGTTGTTAATTTTTGACCTTTCAAAGACTTTCAAAGACTTCATAGCACAATAACTATACAAATAAAATTACTGGACTATCAGAAGTTATACCTGAAAATGTTATATTTAAAATGGCTCAAATTCAGTCTATTCGCATTGGCCGGTTCGCATAAATGAAAAGGCCCAAACTGCACTTCCTGCTAAACTGAAAGTAGAAAAGGTATCATCAGCGATAAATATATCTATGTTAAGTACACGTGTATTAAACTTGTATATATCTGCCTCTGTGCACGAGGATATTAGGTTTTAATTATGTCATGCTGTAGTATAATTGTCAATGTTTGAATATCAACGTCAAAGAACAGCCGAGCAAAGAACAGAAACGAGTCCAGAAGAAAAATACATCAGGTGTGTAACTGTTTGGGGAACAGTGAATTATGAAAAGTTCTGTGCTTGACATTGATCGCACGTATTATCACATGAAATTTTCAAAAAGACATTAAAATAAATAAGACTTTTTTGAATTTAGGAGCATCTTTCTTTATGTTAATATTATAAATTACCACATAAATTCATCCATTTACCTTATTTACCTATAAGTTGAGTTTATTTCTGGTACAGGATCGGTAATGATAATATACACCAGACTCAAAATAAAAATAAATTCCATAATAAAACTATATGATGTATAAATATGTGTTACGACATATCTATAGCTCGTTATTGATCAGGACATTTAGGACAGTATCCATTATACGTTTCTGATCAGGATGAATTTCAGATTTTATTTTTGTATAGTTATGTAACTGCTGAGGAGAGGTAAAATGCACAGCCAAACCATGATGCGAACCCAGGATCCTTTAAACACTAGAGAAACGCTTTACTTGTTAAGCTACATGGTCGCCAGTTATCAAAACAGTCCAGTTCTGCAACGCAGTCCTCCCTCCGATTCTAAGTGTTTATTTCTGCAGCCCACAAAAGATAATACTACTTTTTACAACTGTGAGCGGTTCAGGTATCCCCTTGTTTAAAGCATTCAACTATATAGTACTTAAAACAAGGGTTGTTCACAGGCACCACTGTAACAGGACAGGAAAAGCAAGGCCAGACTGGCATTTGAACCCGGGACCATCCAAAGTCTAGCCAGATGCATGCTCTAACCAATATTGAGCTACATAAGTCTCTGGTGATCAACAAGTTGTGAGTCAAGTTCTGCTACCGTTATATAAAAGCTCTTGTGAAGCCCAATGATTATCCAGTCTATTTTTCAATCTGTTTTAAAGATCTTATATTTTCAATATCGTATTATTGTTTATTACTTTTATCGTTAATGAATCTGTATTTATCTTATGCCTTCCTTTTTTTCAGAAATTGGATCTACAATTAAGAACTACGTCAACTGGAATTTCATTTCCACTAACACATGACAGATAATATGACAAGTTGATGGACAATATCACATCTTGTTTTGTGGATAAAAAAGTGAAAGATTAAAAATGATGAGGAACATTCTATTACTTGCCATACTGTACTTTCTACAAGGCCTGCCCTATGGGCTACAGGCTAAGTTTCTGCCTGTCTACTTCAGGTCACATGGCATGAGTTTAACCAACATCAGTCTCTTCAAGCTACTTCTTTTACCCTGGATGTGTAAAGCATTATGGGCTCCATATGTTGACCACTATGGTACCAAAAGGGACTGGCTGATGTGGAGTATGTCGGGGTTGGCAGTGACATGCCTCTTGGGAGCATTTTCTTCACCTGAACTCATCATCTCACTGGCTTGTGTACTTTTCCTCTTCAATCTGTTAACCTCGACACAGGATATTGCTGTGGATGGAATAGCAATACAAATCCTGTCCTCATCCGAATTGGCGTACGGGAACATCGCCCAGGTGGTTGGCTATAAGGCTGGCACTTTGGTCAGTGGGGGTGTCCTAACCTGGCTTAGTGACCACCTGCCCTGGGCAATGCTCTTTTTAATTTTAGTCAGTGTTTACTCGCTGTCAACATTACTCGTGACTGTCAGCATACCACATATAGGAGCATCACACTTGGAAGAAACAGAAAAAAGTGGACCAAACTCTCAACAGAAAAATACTGATGAGAAAGATGAGCAGTATAGATGGTTTTTCGGACATTTAACAGAAGTTTACAGGTCACCTGGGACTAAATGGATTATTGTGTTTGTGCTCCTGTATAAACTTGGTAGGTATATATAATGTACTGTAACTTAATTGATTAAAAATTACCTGCTGAACTCATTTTATATATTTACAATAATGATGGTCATTACAGATTTTGCAATTGCCATTTGTTTGATAATTCTGTGTTACAGGTATTGTGTAATAGATAGTTCTGTGTTACAGGTATTGTTTAATAGATAATTCTGTGTTACAGGTATTGTGTTATAGATAATTCTGTGTTACAGGTATTGTGTAATAGATTTTTCTGTGTTACAGGTATTGTGTAATAGATAGTTCTGTGTTACAGGTATTGTTTAATAGATAATTCTGTGTTACAGGTATTGTTTAATGGATAGTTCTGTGTTCCAGGTATTGTTTAATGGATAGTACTGTATTTACAGGTATTGTGTAATAGATAGTTCTGTGTTACAGGTATTGTTTAATGGATAGTTCTGTGTTACAGGTATTGTTTAATGGATAGTACTGTGTTTACAGGTATTGTGTAATAGATAATTCTGTGTTTTAAGGTATTGTTTAATGGATAGTTCTGTGTTTACAGGTATTGTTTGATGGATAGTTCTTTGTTACAGGTATTGTGTAACAGATAGCTCTGTGTTACAGGTATTGTTTAATGGATAGTTCTGTGTTACAGGTATTGTGTAATAGATAATTCTTTTTTACAGGTATTGTGTAATAGATAATTCTGTGTTACAGGTATTGTGTAATAGATAGTTCTGTGTTACAGGTATTGTGTAATAGATAGTTCTGTGTCACAGGTATTGTGTAATAGATAGTTCTGTGTTACAGGTATTGTGTAATGAAAATTCTGTGTTACAGGTATTGTGTAATAGATAGTTCTGTGTTACAGGTATTGTGTAATAGATAGTTCTGTGTTACAGGTATTGTTAAATAGATAATTCTGTGTTACAGGTATTGTTGATAGATAGTTCTGTGTTACAGGTATTGTGTAATAGATAGTTCTGTGTTACAGGTATTGTTAAATAGTTAATTCTGTGTTACGGGTATTGTTTAATAGATAATTCTGTGTTACAGGTATTGTTTAATAGATAATTCTGTGTTACAGGTATTGTGTAATAGATAATTCTTTTTTACAGGTATTGTGTAATAGATAATTCTGTGTTACAGGTATTGTGTAATAGATAATTCTGTGTTACATATATTGTTTAATAGATAGTTCTTTGTTACAGGTATTGTGTAACAGATAGCTCTGTGTTACAGGTATTGTTTAAGCGATAATTCTGTGTTACAGGTATTGTTTAATAGATAATTCTGCGTTACAGGTATTGTGTAATAGATAATTCTGTGTTTACAGGTATTGTTTAATGGATAGTTCTATGTTAAAGGTATTGTTTAATGGATAGTACTGTGTTTACAGGTATTGTGTAATAGATAATTCTGTGTTTTAAGGTATTGTTTAATGGATAGTTCTGTGTTTACAGGTATTGTTTGATGGATAGTTCTGTGTTTACAGGTATTGTTTAATGGATAGTTCTGTGTTAACAGGTATTGTTTAATGGATAGTTCTGTGTTTACAGGTATTATTTAATGGATAGTTCTGTGTTTACAGGTATTGTTTTATGGATAGTTCTGTGTTTACAGGTATTGTTTAATGGATAGTTCTTTTACAGGTGAGCAAGGAGCCATCAGTATGGTCCCACTCTTCTTGGTCGACAAAGACCTCCCCATGTCCAAGGTTGGTTTCTGGACAGGAATGGTGGGTCAAGTGGTTTCTATCCTGGGCTCATTTCTGGGAGGCTGGCTTTTATCTCATCTCAGGTAAGTCATATCTGAGCTGTCAGTGTATCTCTCTGCTCAGGTTATTGTACTCCCAGCAACACAGTAAGGGGATGGGGGTATACTGGAATCAGGGTGTCCATCCACCGTATACTTTTCAGAGACAATATGACAACTGCTACTTGCGCTTTATTTTCTTGTTCTTTTTCTTTTGTAAATTTGGTCTGAAGCACTGCCATAGTTGTCTCTTGAATGTTATTTAAGAAACTTCATACACATGATCAGTACATTAAATTAGTTCACGATGCATTTTAAAATTATTTTAATGCTTACTGTTAGTGCTTCTTTTTTTTGTCGCAGTGGAGGGATATTAGTGAACCTGTGGCCACAAGCACTCATTGTAATTTTATTTGCTTACACTAAGTTACAGTTCCAGTCCACACTGCTAAACACCTGTATATTCAGGGATGATTCCAGCAGATTAAAAGTATACAGCTCTTGGCAAGACTTCTGGAATTTTCATTAAAATCTCATTGAAATGGTCATTTTCATTACCAATTCTTGAAATTTGACTTGGGTGATTGAAAAAAGGGAAAAGAAAACAATTACATGTACAAAATAGTACGATACAAAAGTATATATACCAGGCAGATAACAAAGACAAGTTTTAACTGCAATAAACGAGGGTGGAAATAAGTCCCATCAATCAAAATATCTAGTGGCCCAGAACATAATAGCAGAATCATCCCTGATCTCCATAAATGTTTGTATGGCTTGATACGTGTATACATTATCTCCCTAGCTGGAGCACAGTGGACCTCCTCAAGGTGTCCTGTATGATGAGACTATTTCCAGCCTTCTCTCAGATCCTTGTTGTTTGGTTGTGGTCAGAAGAATATGCCACTCTTTGTTATGGTAAGTATTTCCCTGAAATTTTAGCTTTTCTCCAATAATCATCATAATATTCCACCTTACAAGTGCCAGGTGTACTAGCAATTTGTAAAAATCAAAATGATAGCTAAACTATCAAAAATTCTCATAAAAACAGCCATTATAGACAATATTCAGTCAATCGTGAGGAAAGGATGCTCAGACCAGTAAGCATCCTCGATATCCAGGGGTTACGCTCACTTTCGCTCTCTACACCCCTGGAATCATCCTCGATATCCAGGGGTTACGCTCACTTTCGCTCTCGACACCCCTGGAATATGTCATAGAAAAATTGAAGGCTCGGTGTGCGCCACCTTGTTGAGACAAGAAGACTAGTTTGATCCTTTGATGTACAATCAAATGAATCTCGCGGTCACGTAACGGTAAAAATTGACAGGCCTTGAAGTCGGGCATCTCTCCTTTGTAATCTATAAAGGACAAGTATCAGCCTAGCGATTTTTTTTTTACCCGAGACCAATCAAACAGCTATCTTCGTGCCTTCAATTTTGCTATGTCATATTCCAGGGGTGTAGAGAGCGAAAGTGAGTGTAACCTTTGGATATTGAGGATGACCAGAAAGAGGCACTTGTAATAGTTGAGGCATTTCTTAGATCATATCCAATGTAGGTTTCCTTACTTCAACAGAAATCATGTTGGTTTGCAATGTAATACAAAAGGTAACTGTTATTGTGATGTTGTGATTCCTTGCAGTTTTGTTGTAAGTAGGCTTCTCAAACAAAACAGTTAAGACTGTCTAACCTGTCATCATGTTCCAGATTAGACAGCATGTCATAATGCAGTCATATTTTATTTTTTCTATCAAAATTTGAATTATGTCGGATAAGACAGGATGCTCATAGAGAAACTTCGGCCAGTCAAACTTCTGCACTTCACTGATATATATATTTACCCAGTGTTAAATTCGCCCTCCACATGTTATTACTGTATATTACATCCTTATTGTCCTCATATTCATTGTCATTATAAACTTGCCCTAATTTAGGTCAGAAAGGGCAAAAGTGTATGGAAAAAAGTTCCAGTATACATTACCACTACTAGAGTATATTTAGAAGTCTTACCCTCCAAACTACTTTGCTCTGAAAGTATTTCAATATTTCAGTTATTATCTGTAAATCTGTGATTATAATTTTACATCAAACTTAATTTTCAGTATTATCTATCCTGGGTATGTTAACAATGCTGCTTATTAGTGGTATAGTAACCACGGCAACCTTCACCATGATGATGCAGTGCTCACAGCTGGCGCCCTCTAGGATCCAGGCAACACACTACACGGTACTCGCCACGCTGGAGGTCCTGGGAAAGTTAACCTTCTCTATAGTGACAGGACCAATCACAGACTTGGTAGGATACAGATACGTGTACCTCCTGTTCATAGCACTCACTGCATTACTGCTGCCATTGTTTAAACACTGTCCACCAAGTCTGGAGGAGAAAGCAAATACAAACAAAAATCATTAAGTTCTATTTCACACAGTACTTGCAATAGGTAACTTGGTGGAATATTAGAATATGGCTGAAGGACTTGCATATCATCAACTTCCCTCGAACATCATCCTCAGATAACCACCGGTAGTTTCTACATATTTATTGCTATTCTCAAAGAGTGGATTGAGTGTAAAGAAATCTCCGACACATGAGTAGTGTATCTAGAGTTGGCCCAATGTAAGAAATGTGTGCTACAGTTCTTCTGTGACTGTGAGGAAACAACAATATGTCAGCCTCATCTCAGCTGACCATGGAGATTAATCAAATTTAGAGATCTTTGACAGTGACAGTGACCTTACCAGATGGGAAACTGGATCACAATGGACACTGGAATAACAAATTTATGCAACCAATACCAATGACTTTAAAGCGAATGAAATCATGTATCTTGGAATGCTGGAAAGTTCTGTTACAAAATGCATCTACCTCAACCATTGAATATTATATGGTGTTATTAAATACACATCGCACTGCTCTGTAATGCTACTCTTCTGGACAGAAAAATAATAACAAATATATAATCATATAGTTTATTAAAATATTACATACAACCATCCATTGTAATTTCAACAACTAACATAACCACAGTGCCTTATTTGGAGGGTTAACACACTACCCGATAAACAAATTGTATTACACATGTTTATAAAGTGCCCTGGGTGGTGCATACAATTTGAAACAGTAAAGGGAATCATATATATAATAAATTGTATAAGCATTTTTAAAAAAAAATGCATTTATATAAAAGTAAAGTATTTTCATCTTATTGGATTTCATGTTTTATTGTTTACAGGTAAATTATGGTCCTTCATTAAAGTATTGACCACAGATTACCGATTTAAATCATTTTAAAATAGATAAAAATTGTGTTACCAAAAAATAACGCCACACTGAATTTTTTGTCGCCAAATCTGAACAAGTGTCTGTAATGCTACTCTTCTAGACAGAAAAATAAAAACAAATATAAAATCATATAATTTATTAAAATACCGGTATTACATACAACCATCCATTGTAACCAACAACTTGGTGATCGTTAATGCAAGCCCTGTGTAAAAAAATATGTGAGCATCCTTTATTTACTGTATGTGCATGGGTTTCCATCGGACATCCAAGTAATAAGCACTCGTAAAAATCTACTTTAAAGCTCCAAATCATGTATTTGTGTATATTATTTTAATTATCTTAAAAAATAATTACTTTTGAACCCAGCCTATGATAAACTTCAATTGTCATAGACATGACATTATTTAAAGGATAAATATACGATTACATGTGAAAGCAGATCGAGAATGCATACACTGCTATCTTGGTGATCTTTATACATTAATTAAAGTGAGAAAGTTAAGAAAAAAGGTGGAAAAGTTTAATTATTAATACAGGAGAAATGAAACATCAAGTCCAGTTTTGTGAAATTATTGTAGACACTACCTTAGCAAGCAAATATCTGGACAAAATGATCAAGGAATACAAATCATTGGTGTGTATATAGGTGTTCACATCTAGTCTGCGCTGAAATTTTAATACTCAAAATGAATTATCCTACGAAGACATTACCATTATAGTACCAATATCACAGTAAATAAAGCTTCATTTTGAACTCATCAGTGATGGATTTTACTTCAGTTACCAGGTAACATTTCCATTAGTCACACATTGTATACAGAATGTAATTGATAAAATAATAATCTACAATCTACTAAATATTCCATAATGATGGAAATGTCGATGATTTTCTGGATTTTTTATCACATTATCTATAGACTATGTCAGCTTTCCATGTAATGCTCAATATCTCCTGACTTTCACTCTGAATACCCTTTTTGATTATCACAATCATTGAGAAATATTGGTTTATTAACCTGGATTGTCTGATTATTTTCCTCTGGGGTTTACATCCTGGTAACTCCCATCTTACCTGTCAACAGTGCTAAATCAATAAACCTCTAAATAGTTCAGTTATAAACAATCCAAGCTGTGGTCTGTCAGGTTGACTGCAATCTACTAATTATTTCAGACAAAACACAGACAGTATCTTTAGAGGAAAGCTTAATTTAGTTGTCAAGTTATCAGGGAAATACCTAACTGTCTTCTATTTTAAAATGAAACTCACTATTCTGTTCCAAGACTAAGTGTGTATAGGTATGATTGGTTACACACATGTGTTGTCAAATTTTCTGTATTCGATACTCATCACTTATCACTGATAACCTGAATTTGTGAAAAGACCAAGATTTTCCAACTAGTGTAGTGTTTCTTCACTGAATCACAACACAATTATTACTGTCAAATGAAAACAAATTATATATCAGTACTTAACTTGATCACTGAATTTGTACTTAAAGGTGATGAATTTGTACTTAAAAGTGAAAAGGAACCATAACCCCATCTTCAAGACCTATACAATAACATTTTCTGAAACCAAAACACTTACCGGTATCTTAAATATTTCAACAGAAAATACATCAGTAACAAATCTACGAGACACGGTCCTCAACAATGGTGTTGTACCCACTACTGACATACATAACTCTCTGTATAAACAGAGTTCTGTTAACATTGTGTAGTCTACATACCATACAATCTGTTCGTTAACATAGAAACCTCATATCTAAATTGTATCACATGCATATTTTTGCTTACAGATGTATATACATTCCGACAGCCCCAGTATCTATAACCCCACCTCTAGGTAATAACTACATCTATCATTACTACTCTAACATATGCATAGGTATATTTCGCTTTGATTTTCAATAACAATATCAAAAGGCAAATATGGTAATATGGTAAGAGGAATTGTTTCTTCAGAACCGTACCATCAGTGATAACTTATGTCCAAACATATTATTATACCTCATCTACAAAGCAACTTGTCTGACTGAATTGTATTGATCACATGGCGGGGGAATAAAACATTGTGTCACCTTACATGATAATGTTTCCCCACTCAGATCTCCTTTATCAGAGTTTCCCTAGAGAAGCAGGCACAAGTCACCACAACCTAGTTCTGAGTGACTGAAGCTGACGCCAATGATGTGACATCCTGATCGGTGTTACTAACTGCATTGTTATTGTCCTTGTTGTAGGAAAACAGGATATTTTATCTTTCTTTGATTAATCATGTTTCACTTAGTTTTTTCCATTGTGATACATGATTAATCTCAGAGAAACAAAGAATCGTATTTCCTTACATCAACAGCACATAATAATAATTTGAGTTTCTTATGTACCGCTTTATCACAACCTAGTTGATAGGTCGTCTCAAAGCGGTTCACAAATTAATATCTGTAGTTATAGGGCCTTTGCAACCAGCCAATACAGCCGTGGCTGCTATTTTTGCGCTCACAGCTAGCTATCAACAATTCCAGCACTGCCCAACCACGTACTTATTTACAGCTGAGCAGAAGTGGAGTAAAGTATCTTGTTAAAAGATACAACATAGTGTGTGCGTGACGTGACTCAAACCCGTCGTCACTAGCCTGGCGTCCTACCACTACACTACCGTGCCTCCATACATATGTGGCAAATGTAACATCCATTAATCAGCTAAGATTGTCACATCAGGTATTACAGCTTGTCACCCAGACATTTACTTACTTCTCAAAAGTAACTGACATATGTTTAGTGGATTTCCTGGAAATTAGTTTCCTGAAAGTATTATTTATATTGTAAAATGTACGTCTACACAACAGTTTGTACATGTTACTGTAAACAGCCTGAAAAACAAGTCTGCTTACTGTATCACAGTAAGGTCAGTTCTCATATATCTCTATCAAAATTCTACATCGCTCAGAGATTCTGTTCTGTTTCAACATTGATGCAAATCAAACACTTAAATGTACAAAAAGGAAGTAAAAAATATATATTCCATAAAAAAAAAAGTTAAATGTATATAAGAAAAAAAACACAAAATACATACATGATAAGTGTACCACTAAAAATAAAACTTTCAAAAAAATTTGGTCTGCTTTATATGAGTTTATAAAGTTGTCTGATGTTTACACAGGTCACCTATCATAACCGATCTTTCTGAATTCGTTGTTAAAATTAAATCAATCTGATGACACAGTGATTCTAGACTATTCTTTTGATGCTAAAAGCAAGTAGTCTTCATAAAAATGAAACTAGGTATCAACTTTTTTGCAGGGTTTACCCTAAAACTGATTTAAAATGAGAAAAGAAATGAGAGAGTTTTATAATGCGTCTTAAGATTAAAATACACTGAATTATTTGAAGTTAACGTTTTCACCCGAGATAAAATAACCTTTGATCTGAAAAGCAGATTTCTTACCCAGGAACTTTCAAATAAATAACAAATTATATCACAACCCTTAAATAAACATTGATTATATTACTTATAAAACATTCGATCACAGTATCAGTGGCGAAACAATTTCTATACATGTCTTGGACTAGGAAACACAACAAGTAAGTACTAACAGCACTGTATTTATACTGTGTATAGATATCTTAACGCTGGGCTATTATGAAGATTTTGTTGTTTGTGTGCGTTAATGTTGGTCACATAACTTGTATTACGGTACCAACTTCTTTATATAATACTTTAACTGAATTGTAGATTTGGTACTGTAATAATATGATCATACTTTTAAAGATATTCAACAGCAAATAATATCCAAGCACTTTGTTTGCATAAACAATAAATCAACTTTCTCACTAAACAAACATCTCAAATATAAAGAGCATATAGACATTGTGTATTAAGTGAAAATTTGTTATTAATCTTAAATTCCTTAGAGTTCAGGTTCAAATTTTCCTGATCAAAATTTAGATACTTTCTATCAGCTATGTACCATGCTCATAATGAAATGTACACATGTATATAATACTGGGGTTTACACCCCGAAACTTACTGATATATGGCTCAAACATTTGAGATATTAAACATGTATGATCAGAGTTCATCACTTTCAATTTTAGTGAGATATTGTCAAGCTAAACTAGTTTCATCAATCTTGTATAAAGTGGGAAGAGTTTTATGATCTTTTTACCATTTAATCAGTTTATGCAAATATTCTGGAAATCATATTTAATCTGACCACCATCAGGGTACCAATGATGCAATCTTGAATTCTATGATGACAAGTCTGTTGTTTTATGGCAATCATGATGTCAAAATTGAACTATCTAATGTTACACAAGAAACATGTGACAAAAATATGGGGATATCATATAAGGGGTATATTCAATGCACAGCACTGGCGTTATATAAATTATATATATTATACTAGCACAGGACTTATGTGATATCCTCTTAACACAAATCCATATAGGAGTCCCGGTCAGGTGGTCCTACACAGTTTCACTAACAGATACTGTACTTACAGATCTTTGATATTACAGGGATTTAAATGTAACACAGTATCGTGTGATACCATAACACAGACGGGTCATGTGATAGTCATGTGATTCCATAACCCTGTAGTCATGTGATACTATAACACAGACTGAGGTCATGTGATAGTCATGTGATTCCATAACCCTGTAGTCATGTGATACTATAACACAGACTGAGGTCATGTGATTCCATAACCCAGTAGTCATGTGATACTATAACACAGACTGAGGTCATGTGATAGTCATGATGTGTACTATATTACACAGTGGTCATGTGATACTATAACACAGTTGTCAAGTGATACTATTACAGGGTTCATGCACAAAACATTTAGTACTGATCACAATTACAGTAAATATAAAATATAATTTTCTCTAAGGTGTAACAGACAGAAAACTGTCGGGTGGGTAATTATCACAGTCTAAACATCACATTAAATGTCGATATACTTGCAACAAAGGCTATCTACAGTCAATACAAAATCTACAAACAGTAAAACGATAACAAAAATACTGGTGTCAACACCTTTTTCACAACATATTGAAGAGGACTTGTCAAAAGGTAGAAGCATTGGAAGTTGAATATCCAGATTTGTAATAATATATACTGGTATGACAAAGTTAACCTGCAATGTCAAAATAGCTCCAACAAACTCCTTGTGAGTAATGTTTCCGACTAGGTCCTCCCAGACAACATTACTCTAGGCATGGACTTGGTGGATTTGGTGGACTTTGCAGACCTTATAGACAGATGGCTCGCTCTGCTTGGTAACCGTTCAGTAGGAGGAGTATGACTTCTCTCTGGCATCGGACTTGACCCCTCATCAGTTTCTGTGCTTGGAGCCTGCTGACTAGAGGTTGGTGGAGCCCAGCTCTCATCAATAAACTTATGTACTATCTGATTGAACACGTCCGGGGTTTCTATCATCACCATGTGTCCTGCATGGTCAACTACCTCCAGCTGGGAACCATAGATTACCTACATTGAGAAAAAGAAGCAAATTTTCACTGATATGCAGCAAAATGCTTAAAGAAATGGTCAGTATTTCAGAAGTAGACTGAAATGGATTTAAGATTTAAATTTAAGCATTGATATGATTGTTTACACGGGTACAATTTACGTGCCAGGGAAATAGAATGTTCTCAATTGTGTAGTTAAATAAATCTGAACAAAAACAATTTGTTCAGTCGTCATAATCACTTCATTTGGATGCATCTAAACAGAAAATCTTCAACACTGAATACATGGAAAAGAAAGGACCATTCTGATATTGATCAATACCAAAAGTGATATCTCCACAGTGTGCCAGATACAACTTTTGACATTTGTCACAGTGTGAAGGACATCAGTTATATCTTATTCTGGGGTGGGGTGTTTTTTTGAGAAGGGGGGTTTATGACACAGGTGTTTGCACTATTTATATAAGATAGCCTGTGGCTTATGACAAAGGTGTATCATGTACGAAATAAAATACAGGTATATAACTTCTTACAGTTAAGTGTGTCAGAGACTGCGTAGATAAACAAATTACATCTTTAACAGGACAGGGCAGTAACAACCTCTGTATGTCACAATAAGTCACCACTGCCCGCATTTGTCTTGGCCAATCAGAAGTGACAAATAGTGAATATCTTGCATTTTGGTATCTAGACAATAACATGTAGTTGATGTATGATATCATTCACCATCAAAATGATCGAACACTAACAGCCAAAATAAGTTTTGACAGTTTTATTTCCCCTGTTCTATTTTAAGGTATAGTGACCTTGAACTTGACAGATGAACATCTTGCAATATTACACTCAATCATATGGCATTACTCATTCAGGAAGATTAAGTGTGAACAGACACACAGACACTATGATTACTACTGACAGTATAAAATCAGACCTTGTTCATTTCCTCTTCCTCCTGCAGACTGACAAATATGTCATGGCGGCCATATACCAGGAGAGTGCTGACCGCTATCCAGCTGTGGTACATGTCATCACCGTCCGGCCAAAACTGACCATTCATGATGTAACTTAGAACGTATGTTGGAATGTCAAAAGTTGTTTGCCTCGATACTGGTAAATTAGAACCTCCCTTAAAAGCTCTCCTACAATACATTTACATGAAATATTAGTGTTTTAGAGGGCTGTACCAATGATCATGACAGCAGCTGTACCATCATTTGTAGTGTACCATACATCTATCTATAGTATAATACACAACTGTACTTACTATAACAGTAAACAAACAGCGGTCTATGATCTGACTATAGCTCTCCTGCTTTATTTTGATTATGCAGATATGTCAATGGTGTATTCCAGTTATTATACATTAGAAGCTTGTTGACCCTGTTATAGAACGGACATTAACAAATATTTACTGAGTTTACAGTTTAACAAATACGGATTAGTAGTATGGATTAGCAGAATGGATTAACAGAATGGATTAACATTATGTTTCAGCATAAAGGGGTTAACAGTATGAAATAAAAGTTAGAATTAGCATTGGGTAGGATTAGCATTGAGTATGGATTAGCATTGAGTATATATATGGATTAGCATTGGGTATGGATTAGCATTGAGTATGGATTAGCAATGGGTATGGATTAGCATTGGGTATGGATTAGCATGAGTATGGATTAGCATTGAGTATGGATTAGCATTGAGTATGGATTAACATTGAGTATGGATTAGCATTGAGTATGGATTAGCATTGGGAAAATTTAGAAAACTGAGGCCAGACTCTACCTCATTGATGATCACCTATATCTTACCAAATTTGCTATGTACAAGACAATTTTTGGGTGTTCAGTTGGACAGAACTTTACCAGATGAAATATATTAATTTTGTTGTTGATCTACCTGCCAATGCTTTAGCTAATTGGCATTCTATAGTAGAGATATACCTCAAGTCTCCCATTAAAGAGGTTCCGTGAGATGGGACACCTACAGCTATGTAAAATAACCTGACCTACCACTGAAGTGAAATAAGAAATCTTCTTACCTTTGAAAGCAACAGGAAAGACATGGCTTGATACAGGAAAGCATACACAGAGGTAGCGAGAAGACACCAGGCTGGGGTGCCAGTGGGTTAGGTCCTCCACCACTCACTAAGACCAGTCTGTGGACACGACTAGAACGTTGACGGGCCAGCACTGTGGCAAACGCACACCTGTAAACCAAAGCTTCAGTCTAGAATCATCACACAATGTATACTGTAGTTACTGGTATCATTTCCATTGTAAGGTCAAGCTTGACAGAATAGTATGTTCATACCTGTGGTTGTGTGTAAAATTATACATGTACACATTATATATATGTAGGAAATTTCTATGGAACAAAATTCTTACAAGAATACCACAAATATTATACTTTATAGTCAATCAACAAATATCCAAGCAGATCAAAACTGGGAAAAGAATATTAGACTAAAATAATCATACAAATATCATTTTATTTATTCCATAATGAAATATTTTAAGTACCAGAGAAAAACTTTTTAGAATGAAACAAATGCAACCTTTACAATATTATCTCAGGTCAGTGATCTGGCTGCATATATCAAATCCTGATCTATAATACCGGTAGTTTTACCATTTTTTCTGTTTTACTTTTTTTCGGTATTTTCATTGCACCTCATGAAACTAATAAAGTTCTACTGTTTTACATGACATTATTCAAAAAGATTTATGGATCAGCTGTGAAGTTTTGTGAACTGGAATAATACATGACAAAAGAAATGTTTTAACAAAAAATAAAATATGTTATATAAAACCTTACCCATAGGAATGCCCAACAATAACATTCTTCCTTTTACAATATTTGTCAAAGATTTCATCGATGTCTGCAAGAATCTCATCAAAATGGTAGGCTTGTTGTCTGTCTGGGGCACAGCTCAGCCCATGACCAATCATGTCAGGGCACACAATCTCATACCCAAGGGAAGCAAAATAATCGATCTGTGACTTCCATACATCAGACGATCCACCGACACCATGAATGAAGAACAGTACCATACTAGTATCTATATCATCAGTTTGCATCTGATCTTTTCGGCTGAATTTACTTGCAGCTTGAGAGTGTAATGCCCGACTTTGTTTACCACGGGAAGTGTCCGGCTCTCTGCCTTCGTCTATAGTAGGTTCATTTGTCTTATTGATGTGTCCTAGATCTATTCGTTTTCCTTGATGGTCCATAGCTATAGTTACATTTGATGTGGACATGACACTCTGGGTTTCTGCATAGGATGTCTGAGAAATACCTCTACTGGGTGTCTGCATGGTACAAGTACTAGTTATACTTTTCTCTGTCAATGGCCGCTCGCTGGTCGTGTGGCCATTAGGAAGACTGTTTATTGCATCAATTGGTTCATCTTTGGGCACATGAGGAAGGAACACCTGATCACTACCAGTACCTTTGTCAGGCGTGGAATGGGTGGACGCTTTGTCACTAGTGGTCCGTCGTATACTTAAATGTGTGGCGAGGTTTGGGAGCATCCCTGTTCGTTTGTATTGCATGAACATCTGCATTTCCTTTTCAAATTTCCCATCTCTCTTTCGTTTATTAAAATGCTGAATCCTCAGGTAACGTCCTTTTCGAAACTCAATAATATCTTGATTAGTGTCAGGTGCTGGTGAAACACGAACATTTTGTCGAGCATTGCAGCAAGTCATACAGCCAATACCTCTTACAATGGGTTCAACATCCTATCATCACCTTCAAAACCTGTCAAAATATCAAATTCAATTAAGCACCATAATAATTTGGTATCATGCAAAACATTTCTTTTTTACATCATGTCTATGAAACATAAATCCTGACCTTACGAAAGCTTCTGTGAGACTGTGAATACAATCTCTTTGGCTATCAGTTTAACTTTAAGGCAACTTACTAAAGAGTAACCTTGACAGACATTACTTTTTATTTGGTTTACTATTGTGTCCAACAGAATCCTTTTTGTATGTATATTATTCAATTGCGGCATAACAGTAGTTGTAGATCTGTGAACAATGCACAGGGAGACATTTCTAACATGGAAGTATTTGTAAAGAGCTTTAGAGAACTGGGTAACATCTGGTTGTTTTGTGATGTATAGCCATGGCCTCAGATACGCAACAATATAGTTTTTTTTGGAAAATGTTATATCATTTTTATAACAGATTGTGTCTGAAGAGTCTTATCAAACTATCAACATCTATAATATAATTATGTACTTATTTTGTGAATTGAATTGATTTATTAAGATCTAAGGGACCCATTGGAATTAAGCCACAATGTGGCTTTATGGGTCATCCAAGGTAAAGGTCTAAATTTAATCAAATCAAATCTAGTTTTTAGCACTCTGACTGATTACTAGTTCTATGGCATAAATAGCTTATAAATAACATCTGTGATAATATACATATATATATATATTTTTATATATTCTTTTTGTATCCTTTTTTCATAGACAGACAGATGTTGGTTATATTCTATTGCTAGTCTGTTAGTGTTGTATGTAGGTTTGGTTTAATTTTGTCTAACGTCCTATTAACAGCTAAAGTCGTTTAAGGACATGCCTCCATGTGTGTTATAATAATAAAAATAATTCAAGGTTCTTATATACCACTTTATCACAATCTGGTTCGTAGGTCGTCTTAAAGTTGTTCACAAATTGTAATGTATGCTGTTGTGCTTGCCTCCTTGTGATAGCGCAGATCTGATGCTGACTATATAGCGCTATCTCACCGAAATGCCATGCCAAAGACACCAAGCACAGCATTCGCCCAGTCACATTATACTGACAATGGGCCGGGTGAACCAGTTATTGCCATTTCCCTTAATGCTGAACGTTATTGGTGTAACGTGTTGAAATATAACATATTTGATGTATTCGGAAAGAATCGAAGAATGACGTAAGGATCATAGACAGCTTTTTAGACTCACCAAAAGCCTAATGGGACAGAAAGGTGAAATTATCCTACGAAGCTGAAAAAGACTTGGCAAGCAAGTTCAGTGATTACTTTCTGAATAAAATCAGCTCAATCAGGAAAAATATTGCCGAAGTGAACTCTCCCTCCGATTGCTATCTCCGTCATGACTGCTGACATTGAATTTGATGGGGAGCCATTTGCAAAGCTCTCACCAACAACCCAGGATGAGTTGTGCAACATCATCATGACCACGCAATCAAAGTCCTGTGAGCTTGATCCACTGCCTACAGACCTATAAAAACAATGTCTCGAAGCACTGCTTCCTTTGATTACCTCAACCATGAACAAATCATTTGCTGAGTCAAAGATTCCATTGTGTTTCAAGAAGGCACATGTATGTCAGACCATTGTTAAAGAAGCCTGGAATGGACAAGGAGGAGTTGAAGAACTACCGCCCAGTTTCAAATCTGCTTTTTCTGTCTAAGATCTTGGAGAAGGTTGTGTCCCTGCATTTAGAGGTTCATATCCATGCAAACAGTCTCCATGACAACATGCAATCGGCTACCGCACGGGACACTCTACTGAGACGGCCCTCTTACGTGTACATAATGTTATAGCTTCTGCATTGGATATAAAACAAGTGCAGAGCGGTGCTTGTCATACTGGACTTGTCAGCTGCATTTGACGTCATCGACCATGGCATACTTTATAAACCTCTGGACTACTCTTATTGAGTGACTGATACCGCACTATGCTGGATACAGTTTTATCTGAGCAAACGATGACAGTGTGTTGCCATCGGATCTTCCACCTCACAAGTCAAAGTACTAGATTTCGGGGTTCCTCAAGGGTCGGTGTAAGGACCATGAAAATATTGCCAGTACTCCAAACCGATTGGAGAGATTTGTCGTCGCCATAGCCTTCGCTATCATTGCTGTGGTTTGATGACACACAATTTAACATGGTCATCAAACCACAGGACAGTTGGAATAGTCTCAGAAAAGTCTGGAAGCTTGTCTGACAGATATCAGTATCTGGATGAACGACAACATGCTAAAGCTTAATCAGGAAAAGACGGAACTAATCGTCTTCTCCCCGAAGTGTCAGCAAACAATGGCTCTCCAGCTCAAGGTCGGTGCCAGAACTATTGAGACTGTCCCAGCTGTTAAAAACCTAGGGGTATACTTTGATAGTTCACTGAACATGGAGAAAAAAGTGAACGCTATTGCCAAATCCTGTTACAATCAGATCAGGAACATCGGCTGTTTTCGGCAGTATGTAACTACAGATTATGGTAACGCCCTACTATGTGGTATATCTGAAAAACTAATTAGTCTTCTGCAGAGTGTCCAGAACACTGCAGCACGGCTGGTTACTCTTACTTGAAAGAGAGAGCACATCACACCTGTGCTATATTCGTTCCACTGGTTATACCTGTACGATACAGGTTGCAGTACAAAACTCTGGTGTACACATACAAGGCACTGAATGGAACAGCTCCTCAGTACCTACAGGGGCTTGTTATCCTGTATCAGCTGTCACGATCACTGCGGTCGGAGTCAGAATCTTTGTTGTGTGTCCATAAATCTCGTACTGTGATCTACGGAAACAGGTGCTTTTGGAGGGTTTTGACCACGTTGTGGAATAGCTTACCATCTGCTATTATAAAGTCAAATAACCTGGCCAAGTTCAAGAGGGACATCAAAACTCACCTCTTCATGTCTGCATTTTAGAATCCTTGCGAAGACGTCATGTAAACACCGCCCTTTATTTGTTAAATTATGTGCATATTGCTGCTTAAATGTATAAAAGTGATTGTAAGCCTTTGTTTTTGTTTAACAATTATAACTATTACTATTATACATTTGTTGTAAAGCGCTTAAGAGTAATACTACTGTATTGACAGACGAGGCTGGTAGTTGTACCTGTGAACAACAGACTAACACAATATATACTGTAACCAACATCCGTCTGTCTATGAAAAAAGGATATAAAAAGAATAACGTAATTATGTCCTAGTGCATTAAACAATAGAATAAATTGTTGAGTCACCTCAAATTTAAGTTGCACGGACAGTAAAGGGTAAAAAATACGTTATTAAAATATCTAACTAAAATCAATCGAATGTCATGTTGTTTATATTTTCCATGGAAGTATGCCGTACAACAGTCAACAGTGGAAGATATTACGCTACACAATGTAGGCCTAGTACTCTTTAGTATATTGTCAGAAGTGTTTTATGGTATCTGAATGCCAGAAATTCGGCTATACACTTTTCTAAACAATGTGTATGGTGATAATATAAAGTCTGTTTGATCGAGAATAATCAACGCAAATAATTCTGAAGGTGTTGCGGATTAATATCGTAGCCTATTTCCGGCGGAAGTTGTATTGGCTCCGAGAGGTCGGGTCGACCACGGGGGGCTTCAACAAAAAGAAACGATGTCATTTTTGACAGCTGCCCTAAGGTATCGAAATTGCAAATAATCTCCAGCTGATTGAATGACATTGTTTAAAGCAAAAGTAGATTTATGTGTAATTATTGTTCTTATGCAAGATCCTTTAATTCCAGTTAAATGCACTTGTTCTTCTTGTATCTTGTACCACAGTTATGTCCCTTTGCATGTTGGCTACGACTTTTTAAATAAGGTCGGTCTTAGTAATCTAATACTGCTTTCGGGCGAGCCTTGACAAAGCATTGCAAGGCCTGCATAACAGTTGGAGGCCCGCCAGGATTTATACCCGAAATTGTTACATTTATAAACGGTCAAACCGGTTGTTCCGCATAAACGAACCTTGGGAGGGACATGTCATCAAACTAGATATAGGTCCCTTACGCACACAGATGCTAGGGTTCTGGAATATATGTGATATACTATCGCACCCACTAGATATCGCACCAACTTATACTAATAAATCATAACATGTATGATTTATTAGTATAAGGGGGTGCGATAATATATCGCATATATTCCAGAACCTGAGCACCTGTGCTTACGCATAGCAGGTTCAACCGGTTTATCCGTATATAAATGTATCATTTTCCGGTATAAATCCTGGCGGATCTGCACATGTTTATGCAAGCCTTGAAAAGCTGTGAGCGGCCCTCAGGTCACTTGGCAAGTAAGTGCCAGTTGAGCTTATGGTATGGTGTGTTGTCTGTCGGTCAACTTTTCTTTGAACCACCTCTTCATAAGAACTGCAGGACCTAGAGCCGTGATATCTGCCAGTAGGTACCTGGGTCAGAGTGCTAAAAAGTTTCTTCAAATAAATGACCTTGACCTACTTTCAATGTCACCGGGATTAAAACTTGTTAAAACCGTTAAGCTATTTCTTCTGAATAACCAGGAGGCCCAGAGTAATAATATACACTTGGCCAGTAGGTACCTAGCATGAAGTGCTACGTTTCCTCAAATGACCTTGAACTACTTTAACAGATCATGACGGGTAAAATGTGTCTAAAAACTTTAAACATCTTCTTAAGAATAACCAGGAAGCCAAGAGTAATGATACTTAGCAAGTAGCTATAGGAACATTGTACCTGGGACAGTGCTATAAAGTTTCCCAAAATTAATTACCTTGATGTGCTTTCAGTCACATCGGTTGAACAAATATGCAAATGACTTTTAACAACTTCTTCTACAATACTAGGAGGCCCTGGGTTTTGTTATTTGACCAGTAGCATGCTTGGATAGAGTAGTATAAAGTTTCATTTAGTTTGGAATATTCAAGGAGACTCAATTTGTGGTAATATTTGCAAAAGTACTATTATTGAGAATATTTCCCCATGATTGCTCAAATATCCAGGTAAGTAAAACAGGCCCTCTGGGCCTCTTGTATTATATATAGATTCAGGTTTTATCGACCACTATTTATCTTAGACTCTATACAAGTTGAAATTCAAACTCTTTATTTTTTTGTTATTTTCAGGGGTCTTCTAAAATGTACAAATAGGCATCAGGCATGCTCTACACAAGTTACCTGTGGTAATGCTGCAGTAGGAGTGAAAGCTCTCCAGCAACAGTGGTCAATTCCTCAGCGATGTCTAACGCTTCCCCCAGAAAAGGAGCGTGGTCTGAAGAAACGTGGAAAGTTTCAGCCTAGTGCCTGGAAGCGCCTCCATAAACATGGTATAGAGGCAGTCCTAACAACATCATCGGGACGCAGAAGACTTTTCAACAGATTGATCAGAGGAAAACATAACTTAACTGTGTTTGACGATTTCTTAGCTGTCAAACCTAGATCTGCAAAAACCAAGAAAGAGTTACGACATGAGGCAACGATATCCAAGCCTCTCCGGAGTCGTCATAATGCATGAGAGATTTCACTGAATGAATGTTAATGTAAAACTAATAGAATGTATTTGTGAAATGTGAATAAAATATTGATATATACACATTAATCTCTTATCCAATCTCTTCCAGATCCTATCAGTAATATTTAAAATGAAATGTTGGTTGAAAAGTATCATCCACACAACGGTGCTCAGTTATAGGTTGGACACAAGTGTTCAGCTCTGTTGTGTGTTTTTTCATGCTCTATCCTTAAAGAATCTTTCTCAAATTTCATATATAGGTTTCCTTTGGTCCTTTGTGTTTCACGTTTAATTTTTGAGACTAATCAGAAGAACAAGATGGATGCTAGATTGCCATCTTGAATTTGGACATTTGAAGTTAGTTATTGCAATTTTTAGGAAAGAACTGGAGGAATTTGTCACAAATTGCATAATTATTTACAAGTAGATTCCTGTTAACAGAACATTTTTTCTTAATGTGACTAATCTCACAATCAAAAGGCTTGCAGGAAGAGCAAGCAATGAGCTTAATTATGTTGTAGCAGGTCAACATTGTCCTTTTGATGACTTCTGAAGAACCATAAGACCTAGGGGTCATGATATTTGGCATGTACATTTAGGTTTCAGGTTGAATGGCCTTGTTTTTATCAATCACTGAACCTATTTTCAAGGTCACTGGGATCAAAGATGCTGCATTAATGTCATATCAAGAACAGCAGTACTTAGATTCATATTTGCGTTGTTACTTCCTGATGTGAAGGACTAACTTTGTTCAAATACTTGGCTGACTTCACAGGGTAAATGTATTTAAATATTGAAATGCTTCTACGAACTATGAGGGTAAAGATATTAAGCATGTAGTTTAATGGGGTGACTGGCTGTCTGAATACATTGTAAATTAGTTTGACAATTAATTAAGGTCAAAAGTGGTGGATACTTCAAACAAGAGGCCCAAGGGCCTTAGCGGTCACCTGAGTTATATCATAGGTACTGGTAGCTTTATTTTATTGTTTAGATGTGATGTGGAAATCAGCATGTAAACTAAGTGAAATACAATACTTGTCATGTCATCAAAGGATAAGAATTTGAAAATATTGGTAAATGTTCCCTTTGGGGCCCCGCCCTGGCCCCTGGGGATGGGGCAGGAATCCCAATTTTACAAAGTAATACTCTCATTCACCAAAGATGATTCTGACTAAGTTTGAGTAATTTTCTGCTGAAAATGGATAAAATATATACCCAAAAGTGTTATTTCCCTATATAAACTATAGTAAACTTTACCCCCTCCCCAAGGGAGAACGGATAGCTCGGGGGTCCTGAAATTTACAATTTAAATAAAGCCCCTGATGATCTTTCCATCCATGCAGAGAAAATGACTGTAATACCTCTGAGTCTGGAGAAGAAGATTTTTGAAATATCGATTATTTTTCCCTTTTGGGCCCTGCCCTGGCCCCTAGGGTACGGGTAGGAATCCCAATTTTACAATTTAAAACCATCTTCCTCCTCCAAGGATGATTCTGACCAAGTAAAAATAATTTCCAACAGAAAATTGTCAAAATATACCCAAAAGTGTTGTTTCCCTATATAAACTATAGTAAACTTTACCCCCTCCCCAAGGGAGAACGGATAGCTCGGGGTCCTGAAATTTACAATTTAAATAAAGCTCTGATGATCTTTCCATCCATGCAGCGAAAATGACTGTAATACCTCTGAGTCTGGAGAACAAGATTTTTGAAATATTGGTTAATGTTCCCTTTGGGGCCCCGCCCTAGCCACTGGGGATGGGGCAGGAATCCCAATTTTCCAAAGTAATACTCTCATTCACCAAAGATGATTCTGACGAAGTTTGAGTAATTTTCTGCTGAAAATGGATAAAATATATACCCAAAAGTGTTATTTCCCTATATAAACTATAGTAAACTTTACCCCCTCCCCAAGGGAGAACGGATAGCTCGGGGGTCCTGAAATTTACAATTTAAATAAAGCCCCTGATGATCTTTCCATCCATGCAGAGAAAATGACTAATACCTCTGAGTCTGGAGAAGAAGATTTTTGAAATATTGGTTAATTTTCCCTTTTGGGCCCCACCCTGGCCCCTAGGGTTGGGGTAGGAATCCCAATTTTACAATTTGGTATCCTCATCTACCAAGGATGATTCTGACCAAGTTTGAAAAAAATCCATCCACTGGTTCTTGAGAAGAAGTTGATTATGTAAAAGTTTACGCACGACGGACGACGACGGATGGAAAGTGATTGGAATAGGTCACTTGAGCAAAGCTCAGGTGACCTAAAAACTTGTATTAAAGAACTAAAATAGTTGAAATATATGTTCAAATCAATTCTTATATCCAGTTAATTGTCTTTAGCCTTCTAGATTTGCCAATATTAGTAGTTCCGGTTTGAATTTATTTGACAAACATCAAATAATAGAGAGGGACACAGGCCAGTTGGGCCTCTTATTTTTATTTTGAATCTAAAATCATTCGAATAGTGTTCCAAAGCAGTCAACATTGATAGGCACCAATCTAGGCAACATGTTGATATAATGTTGAAGTGACGGTATTAACTTGATCAGTATTAATCGATGAGCAAAAGTAATATAAATACAAATGGTCATGAAATTCTAAATTTAATCTCTCAAAGTTTACATTCTTGTATTCAGATGAGTGTAAAAAGTACAATGGGTTACACATTAAACATTTATTGAAGACTATTAAGACATCGGAAAAATTATTCAAAAATTGTTCTACATTATATCACAGGATTCATATTAAATATTAAAGGTAAGAAAGCTTCAGTTTTAAGTTATGCACTAACAGAAACGACTATAAACTTATTTCCCCTGACACTGCCACAATATTGTGTATAGATCTGTGTTTATATTAATACAAATATGAACTTAAGTATACCCGTCTCGGTAATGAGCCCTCTATCCCTTAGTACGGACTTGGTAGGATTGATAGAATACAGTAGAGGCTGAGCAACCTATAGACCCAGGTTCGACTCCTAGCCGAGGTTCTTGTTAAGTGACCTGGATTACATTGGCACCTTTATAGGACCAGAATACTGTGTACAATTTATCTTTTTACATTGCTTTTACAAGAAGCAATACTGTTTGGGTATGCACCTTGGTAACACAAAGGAATAGGAAATACTGCCTTACTGGCAAGCTAGCTGCTAGCTTTTTCAGCCTTAAAAATCCCCGAATTAGTGTCGACACCATCCAGTTATTTGCAACAATTGATATTCCTCTCTGGCTTTTGACTTTGCCTAAATTAGATCTCTAGCTTCATGAGGGAGTAAAATCTGACACTGAATCTTACACCTTGTGTTCATCATTTTCAAAACTACAGCTGAAATATACGGACTTTCAATTGTGTTATACTTATGGTTCCAAAGATGATCATTAGGTCGCTGCAGCCATGATTGCAAAACGTAGAAATACTGCCTTGGCATGACCCTGGTATGCACTCACTGGTTCAGCTACATCCAGCGTGGTCCTGGTGGAGTGACATGGAAACACTTATCTACATTTCATATGTGATTCATTATAAAAATAGAAAACTAATAACTAAAATAGAAGTGTTTTTAATTCTGATGAATCCACACAAATCATGTATGGTATTGATTGGTACAGCATATGGTGTATGTAACTGAATGTAATACCCGGTACACATATTGGAAACAATTTACTGATCAAAAAACGAAACATGCTTTTCTTTAGTGCATTATTATGTGGCAAGAACACTTTAATGTTCAAAATGCACAAGTCTTGGGCGGGTCATCCTGGTTACTATGCCACGTAAATGCTTCATGAACAAACGTATACATAAGATAATACCTAAATTGAGGTTTAACATTTGTATTCTAGCTTCTATGCATTGTTTACCTAAAAAGCTGGTATCTATCAAAAGCACCAAATTTGAAATACAAGCAAGGATATCAAGAGAAAAAAAGATTTTCTACAACCTTTCTTTTTATAGTGCCTTGACACGTCTACACCATATTTAATACAAGCTTATCACAGTATCTGTCTTACTTCATCATCACAAAAAATAAAACCTGGACAATCCGTTTATCTCCAAAAGTTATTCAGTATACCACATGGTACGGTTTAACATGAAATGTTCATGGGGTTTACATTTTTTTTTATTGCCATGAAACCACAAACAAACAAAAAAAGAGTTTATATTCCGTCTTTGCGTATTGCAGAGTTATCTTCTCTTGGGAGCAGGTATTGATTGTTATGTCATTGGTTTGTGTGAGAAAATTACGTCGTTTTCTCAAAAGTTGATGACGTTACTCTCACAAACAAGTGACGTAACAATCAATACCTGCTCCAAAGAGAAGATAACTCTGCAATACGCAAAGACGGAATACATTGAACTTGCATTAATTGTTTTTTATATAGGGTATCCATGAAAGTTTGATCTGCAAAATAACAATCAAAAGATCTTGACAATGATATTTCCTGTCAAATTTGCAGTGATTATCTCAAACTTTAGGAAGCATTTTACAGATGATTCAGTGTTACGATATGAATCATTTAAGCAGTATAACATAAACCTCATCTGAAATGGACCTTTTATATAGAATAATATACACCATTATAGCAGAACAGTCAGATAAACACCCATTCACAGAATTCTACAGCTTATTCAAGCCTGGCTGACCTGCAAATGTAAATGTAGGGCTTAAAGGTCTTTGTGAAGACATACCACCAGAACACACTACATATTTTACAAACCAACAACTCTGGTCCAACCAGTCTAATCATTCGCAGCACGACTGATTTACATGGTACAATGTACATATTGACGGGTATATAATGACTTACTATATTACACCAATATCATAATTACGATTCTGATTCAAAATAAGTAGATACAAAGTTGGCAATATTTGTAAAGATCTTGATTTGAAGATTTGTGGAAGAGCACTTACATAGATCAAGTCTGCTGCCAAACCCTTTGACTTTTTATTGTCAATAAAATCATGTTTTGAACTGAACATCAAATGCTGATTTTGCTCTAAAATTGTCTTCATATATAGACATTTAAAAATTTTGTATGTTTAATATCCATCAGTAAAGTTCTAAAATCATAAGGTATTGTTTCTAAATTTACACAATGAGTAGGAAATCAATCTGGTATTTGTATCCACTGGCACAGATTATTTAATGATTCTTAAGTAATAATACAAAAACAAAAATCTAACATTCATACTAAGGTACCTTCATCTTTTAAACAATTCACATCGGTACATCTCAACAAAATAGCATGTACACCAGCTACCATTTCTCGTTCATTAATATGGTGAAAACTTTTATTTAAACAAAATACATAAAAAGGAAGGTTTGGCTTCTAAAGCATTTATCAAGTATCTACTTAATTAAATAAAGCAAAAACGTTTTGATGTCGGAGTAGCTATAAATCAGAACGTTGCCAGGTGCCCTGAATATGTTATACACATTCCTTTCGTTACCTTGCACAATAACAATTCAATTCACATCTGCCTCTCAAAAACAGCATAGTAATGTTTGAATTGGAATATCATTGGTGATTTAAAAATAGGATTGAGCTGCATGAAGAATATACAATATATATGAACTTCCCATGAAATCTCCACGTAAAGATAGTCTGGGATATATTACTGCTCTCACAACTTTGAGTATCCGACACATCCGTTACAGATGTTCAACATCGACCATTATCGAGACTTATATTGCAAAGCTAAATCATGGCACATCACTTATATACATTTGGTCCCTGTGAGCTCGTCAAAGTTCACACCACATTTCTTGTTCATAACTGTTCCCTCGAGGAATCGTCCTCGTCTGTCAACAGGACACTGTCGCTGGCACTGTGACGCGTCCCCTGAAACTGCTTCAGGTGAATCTGTCAGATACAAACCAAAACATGTAAAAAGGCACATCAACAGTTTCTGTTTTCAATTCATCCTTTTTGACCTTAAAAGTAAGTGAAGGTTTTTGATGGAAAAAACTTAATTTACAGTTCTCCGACTCAACAAGATACAGGACAAATATCTTGCAAGGCCTCGCAGTGCCAGAGAAGTGATTTAATCTTTTAAACACAGCTGCCCCTTGTGACAATGAAACAAGGTCAAGGTCATTCAGCTGAAAAAATTGGAACACTACTCCTGTTTATATTCTAATAACTTTAACACATTAAAGTGGCCTGAAGCTAAATCAAGTTTATCGAATTTGATAAATCTTTGACGAAAACAAAACCTGTACAACACAAAGCTATAATGGGGGATACAATGAGTTGCCAGATAAGATTGACTCGTGAGTCCCCAGTCCAGTAACCAGACAGAAATGAACCACCAGTTATTTTCAATATTGCATGAAGTATGTCAAGAAACCAGACATGAACAAGTGTCTAGCAGTCGCACAAAGATTGATGAAGTTACCAGACATGAACAAGTCTCTGGCAGTCACACAAAGATTGATGAAGTTACCAGACATGAACAAGTCTCTGGCAGTCACACAAAGATTGATGAAGTTACCAGACATGAACAAGTGTCTAGCAGTCACACAAAGATTGATGAAGTTACCAGACATGAACAAGTGTCTAGCAGTCACACATATATTGATGAAGTTAACAGACATTAACAAGTCTCTGGCAGTCACACATAGATTGATGAAGTTACCAGACATGAACAAGTCTCTGGCAGTCACACAAAGATTGATGAAGTTACCAGACATGAACAAGTCTCTGGCAGTCACACAAAGATTGATGAAGTTACCAGACATGAACAAGTCTCTAGCAGTCACACAAAGATTGATGAAGTTACCAGACATGAACAAGTCTCTAGCAGTCACACAAAGATTGATGAAGTTACCAGACATGAACAAGTCTCTAGCAGTCACACAAAGATTGATGAAGTTACCAGACATGAACAAGTCTCTAGCAGTCACACAAAGATTGATGAAGTTACCAGACATGAACAAGTCTCTAGCAGTCACACAAAGATTGATGAAGTTACCAGACATGAACAAGTCTCTAGCAGTCACACAAAGATTGATGAAGTTACCAGACATGAACAAGTCTCTAGCAGTCACACAAAGATTGATGAAGTTACCAGACATGAACAAGTCTCTAGCAGTCACACAAAGATTGATGAAGTTACCAGACATGAACAAGTCTCTAGCAGTCACACAAAGATTGATGAAGTTACCAGACATGAACAAGTCTCTAGCAGTCACACAAAGATTGATGAAGTTACCAGACATGAACAAGTCTCTAGCAGTCACACAAAGATTGATGAAGTTACCAGACATGAACAAGTCTCTAGCAGTCACACAAAGATTGATGAAGTTACCAGACATGAACAAGTCTCTAGCAGTCACACAAAGATTGATGAAGTTACCAGACATGAACAAGTCTCTAGCAGTCACACAAAGATTGATGAAGTTACCAGACATGAACAAGTCTCTAGCAGTCACACAAAGATTGATGAAGTTACCAGACATGAACAAGTCTCTAGCAGTCACACAAAGATTGATGAAGTTACCAGACATGAACAAGTCTCTAGCAGTCACACAAAGATTGATGAAGTTACCAGACATGAACAAGTCTCTAGCAGTCACACAAAGATTGATGAAGTTACCAGACATGAACAAGTCTCTAGCAGTCACACAAAGATTGATGAAGTTACCAGACATGAACAAGTCTCTAGCAGTCACACAAAGATTGATGAAGTTACCAGACATGAACAAGTCTCTAGCAGTCACACAAAGATTGATGAAGTTACCAGACATGAACAAGTCTCTAGCAGTCACACAAAGATTGATGAAGTTACCAGACATGAACAAGTCTCTAGCAGTCACACAAAGATTGATGAAGTTACCAGACATGAACAAGTCTCTAGCAGTCACACAAAGATTGATGAAGTTACCAGACATGAACAAGTCTCTAGCAGTCACACAAAGATTGATGAAGTTACCAGACATGAACAAGTCTCTAGCAGTCACACAAAGATTGATGAAGTTACCAGACATGAACAAGTCTCTAGCAGTCACACAAAGATTGATGAAGTTACCAGACATGAACAAGTCTCTAGCAGTCACACAAAGATTGATGAAGTTACCAGACATGAACAAGTCTCTAGCAGTCACACAAAGATTGATGAAGTTACCAGACATGAACAAGTCTCTAGCAGTCACACAAAGATTGATGAAGTTACCAGACATGAACAAGTCTCTAGCAGTCACACAAAGATTGATGAAGTTACCAGACATGAACAAGTCTCTAGCAGTCACACAAAGATTGATGAAGTTACCAGACATGAACAAGTGTCTAGCAGTCACACAAAGATTGATAAAGCTACCAGACATGAACAAGTCTCTAGCAGTCACACAAAGATTGATGAAGTTACCAGACATGAACAAGTCTCCAGCAGTCACACAAAGATTGATGAAGTGACCAGACATGAACAAGTCTCTGGCAGTCACACAAAGATTGATGAAGTTACCAGACATGAACAAGTCTCTAGCAGTCACACAAAGATTGATGAAGTTACCAGACATGAACATGTCTCTAGCAGTCACACATAGATTGATGAAGTTACCAGACACTACTGTGGTAAACTACCATGCTTCTACTTACTTGTATAAAAATGTTGACTTCATCACAGCGACTTAGGTAGGGGAAATTTCCTCCAGATTTCAGATGAGCTTTTTTGGCATCTGGGTAACATTTGTACATTTCCTCACGTGCAGAGAAGGACAAGGCACAATCATCAAACACCTAGAGTTAAATGTATAGGGTTAATTACATCACCTGTTACTACCATACATCTAAGATAGATACATAGCAGGGTAGAAGCACCTTAATAGTCACACAAAGATTGATGAAGTTACCAGACACTACTGTGGTAAACTACCATGCTTCTACTTACTTGTATAAAAATGTTTACTTCATCACAGCGACTTAGGTAGGGGAAATTTCCTCCAGATTTCAGATGAGCTTTTTTGGCATCTGGGTAACATTTGTACATTTCCTCACGTGCAGAGAAGGACAAGGCACAATCATCAAACACCTAGAGTTAAATGAATAGGGTTAACTACATCACCTGTTACTACCATACATCTAAGATAGATACATAGCAGGGTAGAAGCACCTTAATTACATCACCCTTAGTTACTGAGAACATCCAACTCCAGATACAGAAATCCCAGAACATCAAAAGATAGAATCTTGCCTCATTGGTTGGGAGAGAGACTGAACATCTCAACCTTAGGGTTGACATTTTCTGCCCCGCCCAAAACTGGGGGGAAGATCCCCCCCCCCCAAAAGTGAATTGAAAAATAATACTTTCAACACTTACTTCCCTCTATAATGTGACATCACCTTATTATAGGACACAATTTCAAATGTTTTTTTACAACATTAAAATAACGGATAATCCTGGAGGGGGCCATCAGGCCATTGAACCCTCATAGAATGGCCCCTTTTAATTTTGATATTGACTAGAAATTGTTGAAATGGTCCACTGCTCTCAAATTCCAGAATTTTCTCTGCAATAATGACTGTTTTCAGTTCAGGTAAAGTTCATTAAATCAACATATCATAAAAGTTGAAATATCAAAACAATCATTTACAGCTAAATGAGGAGACAATTTTATGAAAGGCAAGGCAAAACTTCATTCTGGTAGTATTTAAAAGTTAATTAAATCAAAACATTGTAAAACCTAAATTATCAAAATGAAGTGGTATTCCCCAGTTAGTTGTTCTCAAATTAATATTATACTGAAATCTTGTTTATTGATATTGATTGTATTTTTGGCTCTGTAAAATTTCACCGTCAGTTCTACTTACGTCCAATATAGTAATGGCTACTGTGGAGACTTTCTGTGGTTCTACGTAGCAGTTCATACAGTTTAGTGTGAGACGAGAAGCCAGCTGCTGCTGAGACAAGTTATCCAGCTAGGGACACAAAATAGATAGGACATCAATTAAACATCAGTTTATGGAGGATGAAGTACAGAAATTAGCCATAATAGAGTTACGGAGGATAAAGTACATCATACAGGTTAGGTTTGTTATATCTAGCTAATACGCGGGTTCATTTTCGAACTTTCAAAAGTCAGCAGGTTTAACTGTCTTAGCATCTGTTAATTATGCTAACCTAACATGTTGGAAAAATAGGTGTTCTAATCATCACAATTAAGATAAACAAATGATGTAAAAACAAGGTTCCTGTGATTGAAGAACTACTTATCTTGGTAGCATAATATTTGAACCTTGACCTACACTTTTATATTACAACACTTTCTGAGCATATTTCACTGAATTCCTGGAATCATTGAATTTCATGTGATAATATCTGTTATCATAAAAATATGGTTATCATGGTACACAATTACACTACAAGTACTTGAATCTATTTCTATTGAAAAGTCTTTGGAGACACTTGTCGACAACAGATTTTACCAATAAAACAGCATTTGGAAAGTAACATCCCTATAGAAATATCAACCAATGAATTACAATAGAAAACATTGCAAATTGAATCAACAATAATGATAATTTCACTTTATCATGGTAACAAGATATCTATTGTTACAAAGTGAACTCGATTTGATACATAGTATTACCTTCTCTACTAGGAAGTCAACAGAATCACATATGCTGGGATCAGATGGTCCCTTCTCAAAGTTACCCATCACCATTTTCTTGAGGATTAAAGCAGGCATCATCCAAAACCTATTTAAAAAATAAATACCCACAACTGTCAATTGATAGCAGATTTCAAAGTGGTATATCAGCTTAACATCTGAGTCCTTTGAAAGCTCTGTTGAAGATGACCAGGGCAGTCAAGGAACACTTTTGACAATAGGATAAGAAATGAAGTCTGTATAATGCCCTGGTCACACATTCACGGATCGGACGCCCGATTAGCCACAGATACGATCCAGCATCATTCGTGGCAATATGTAGTGGTCCGTAGCTGTCCGTATTGTATCCTGGGTCAATCGTATTAGTACTTTTATATCTGTGACAATTTTTGAGCATGTTCAAAAATTAACCACGGATCAGAAAACGATAGTACATCCTTACCGATCCGTAGTAGAACGTACTAATTTGTTGTAGTCCGTGATAAACCGTAATTATCCGTACTTGTTCGTAGTACATCCCCGGCCTCAAGTCACTAAGGATCTGTAAGTTAGTTACGGTGAACTACGTACTAACCCATACTAAAATTAAAAATAAATTGTGGAATGTACACTTAAAGCGCAGGAGTTTTTATACGGATTGCTTACCGTGGCGCTCTGTGAGAATTCGTGATTATCTGTGCCAGACAGTTCTAATTCGTGCTAACCGGTACCAAATTTGTAGCGAACCATTGTTACTCCGCAGTGCATGCGCCATGACACGTGTCATTCCGTACTAAACCATACTGAACCGCAGCAATCAGTATCACTCCCCGTTGTCGACTAGCCCCTTTCCGTACTCAAACCATGTTGCATCTGTAGCGGACCTCAGATATAGACTATTCCGGGGTCATCTGTCAGTTTCCATCCATAGTGGATCCGGCGATCCGATCCGTGAATGTGTGACCGGGGCATAAAGCTGATATCTAGGACATGTATGTAAAGGTGGATCCCTGTACATTTGTATATCAATGTAAATTTATATTCAAAAGAGTATGATCACAGATGAAAAATATCTCCATTTTACTCTCTTCACCAAAATAAGTATTTATCTTACATCAGCAACATGAGTCTCTCTAAGAACTTAAATCATTTATTTTTCACATACAATTAAAGTCCTAGAGAGCCTGTATCACTCATCTGGATATATCAGCCGTTACGGAAAAATATTCTCATATAAAAGTACATGTATATTGTGGTTACGGGAATGATATCTCAACTTTTCCCATCCTGTGACCAAGGGGCTGAATTTCTAAGGGTTGGGCATATGTGTATCATGCCTACCAATTGTGTACAGACATGAACAAGTCTCTAGCAGTCACACAAAGATTGATGAAGTTACCAGACATTTACAAGTCTCTGGCAGTCACACATAAATTGATGAAGTTACCAGACATGAACAAGTCTCTAGCAGTCACACAAAGATTGATGAAGTTACCAGACATGAACAAGTCTCTGGCAGTCACACATAGATTGATGAAATTACCAGACATGAACAAGTCTCCAGCAATTACACATAGATAGATGAAGTTACCAGACATGAACAAGTCTCTGGCAGTCACACATAGATTGATGAAGTGACCAGACATGAACAAGTCTCTAGCAGTCACACAAAGATTGATTAAGCTACCAGACATGAACAAGTCTCTAGCAGTCACACAAAGACTGATGAAGTTACCAGACATGAACAAGTCTCTAGCAGTCACATAAAAATTGATGAAGTTACCAGACATGAACAAGTCTCTGGCAGTCACACATAGATTGATGAAATTACCGGACATGAACAAGTCTCCAGCAATTACACATAGATAGATGAAGTTACCAGACATGACCAAGTCTCTGGCAGTCACACATAGATTGATGAAGTGACCAGACATGAACAAGTCTCTAGCAGTCACACAAAGATTGATTAAGTTACCAGACATGAACAAGTCTCTAGCAGTCACATAAAAATTGATGAAGTTACCAGACATGAACAAGTCTCCAGCAGTCACACAAAAATTGATGAAGTTACCAGACATGAACAAGTCTCCAGCAATCACACATAGATAGATGAAGTTACCAGACATGAACAAGTCTCTAGCAGTCACACAAAGACTGATGAAGTTACCAGACATGAACAAGTCTCTAGCAGTCACACAAAAATTGATGAAGTTACCATACATGAACAAGTCTCCAGCAATCACACATAGATAGATGAAGTTACCAGACATGAACAACTCTCTAGCAGTCACACAAAGATTGATGAAGCTACCAGACATGAACAAGTCTCTAGCAGTCACACAAAGATTGATGAAGTTCCCAGACATGAACAAGTCTCTAGCAGTCACACAAAAATTGATGAAGTTACCAGATATGAACAAGTCTCCAGCAATCACACATAGATAGATGAAGTTACCAGACATGAACAAGTCTCTAGCAGTCACACAAAGATTGATGAAGTTCCCAGACATGAACAAGTCTCTGGCAGTCACACATAGATTTATGAAGTTACCAGACATGAACAAGTCTCTGGCAGTCACACATAGATTGATGAAGTTACCAGACATGAATAAGTCTCTGGCAGTCACACATAGATTGATGAAGTTACCAGACATGACTAAGTACATTGTTTAGGACATAACTTCTTGGCAGCATTACTTTATTACAGATTGGCGATCTCAACTGCGAATCAGGGACCAAATCCCCAGGGGAGGGGCACAGCCAGACCCCTGAGTCAAATCTGATTGCATGAATAGAGGACAACCCCTCCATTTGTACAATTTTAGACCACCAAATTGCATCCCAAACTCAGTGAAAACTAATGAACAGTTAATAAGTAGTACTTCTTTAAGAAATTGTTAACAAACAGATGCACAGATCTATGAACAAAAGACAGTGATATGGCATTCTTCAGACCAGGTTAGCTAAGAGTACTTACGTAGGAGCTGAATTTGTCTGTTGGAATATTGATGTATCATAAAAAGAATTGCATAAAATCAGTGATGCAACTCTAGGAGATAAACTTGTATACTCTGTAAACTTCTGGGCCAAGAAACCACCAAGTGATGATCCAAACAAATGAACCTGTCAACAAAGAAAAAAACAATGGTTTTATATCTGGTCAACAAAGAAAAAAACAATGGTTTTATATCTGGTCAACAAAAACAAAACAAAATGGTTTTATATCTGGTCAACAAAGACAAAAACAATGGTTTTATATCTGGTCAACAAAAAAAAGAAACAATGGTTTTATATCTGGTCAACAAAGAAAATAAACAATGCTTTTTATATCGGGTCAACAAAGAAAACAAGAGGCCCAATGGGCCTGCATCGCTAACCTGGTATTAATTTCACACTTGTAATCTTAAAAGTGGACTAAAATACAGCAACAGGCAGAATATCAGTGTTTCATTCATAAGAACCTATTAAAAGATTTAACCATATGACACCTGTGATCTGAATGTCGAACAAGGACATTAGGTTGAAAGTGGGTCAAGAACATTAATTTGAGCAAACTTGGTATCCCTTCATCCCAGCATGCTTCAGGCCCAATTTCAGTATCCTGGGCCGTTTGGTTATTGAGAAGAAGTTGTTTGAAGATTTTAAGACATTTGACCCCAGTGACCTTGAAAATTCGTCAAGGTCATTCATTTGAACAAACTTGGTAGCCCTTCATCCCAGCATGCTACAGGCCCAATATCAGTACCCTTGGCCTTTTGGTTATTCAGAAGAAGTCGTTTGAAGATGTTAAGACATTTGACCCCTGTGGCCTTGAAAGTGAGTCAAGGTCATTCATTTGAACAAACTTGGTAGCCCTTCATCCCAGCATGCTACATGTTAAATATCATCAGCTTGGGCCTCTTAGTTATTGAGAAGAAGTTGTTTAAAGTTTTTAACATATTTGACCCCCCATGACCTTGAAAATTGATGAAGGTCATTTATTTGAACAAACTTGGTAGCCCTTCATCTAAGCATGCTTCTGGCCAAATATCATCACCCTAGGCCTTTTGGTTACTGAGGAGAAGTTGTTTAAAGTAACAAGAGGCCCATGGGCCTTAACGGTCACCTGATATATTTATACAGAGAGTTGATTTTTGTTTTTAACATGAACAGAAATATTATTCAAAGTGACAAAAAACAATAAACCACCTTATTCAATATCTAGCATGCAGATTTAAGACTGAAAAGTATTTGAAACTAGCACCTCTGATTCTAAACAAGGAAAATGAAGAAATTTTGTTTTAGCACACAGACTCCATTGGGCCCCACCCTACAGCCCTTGTGGGTAGGGATGGCTCAAAATTTACAAAGTATCAAACTGTCAACTTAGGGTTATAATTCCAATCAAGTTATCAACATGTAATATTCAAAGTATCATTTGCCATTCACAATTTTGGTAAAGCACCTTAAGACCCTCCCATCTATGAAGAGTATTTGATTCTACCATATCTGGGTCTTCAGAAGAAGATTTTTGAAATTTCAGTCAATTCAACCCTTTTTGGCACCACCCATCAGCCCCGGGGGGCCAGTCAGGGCTGATATGTGCATACCATCAAACTGCTATCCAATACAGATAATGCTAACCTAAATTATATTACTTCCAATGGCAATTAAACAAATGTTAGTCTAAAATGTGATTTCCCTATGTAAACTATAGTAAAATTTACTCCCTCCCCAGGGGGAAACGTGAGACCCCAGGGTCATGAAATTCACAATTTGGTAAAGCACCTTAAGACCCTTCCATCTATGAAGAGTATTTGATTCTACCATATCTGGGTCTTCAGAAGAAGATTTTTGAAATTTCAGTCAATTAAACCATTTTTGGCACCACCCATCAGCCCCGGGGGGTCAGTCAGGGCTGATATGTGCATACCATCAAACTGCTATCCAATACAGATAATGCTAACCTAAATTGAATTACTTCCAATGGCAATTAAACAAATGTTGGTCCAAAATGTGATTTCCCTATATAAACTATAGTAAAGTTTACCCCCTCCCCAGGGGGAAACGTGAGACCCCAGGGTTAAGAAATTCACAATTTTAGTAAAGCACCTTAAGACCCTTCTATCTATGAAGAGTATTTGATTCTACCATATCTGGGTCTTCAGAAGTAGATTTTTGAAATTTTAGTCATTTTTACCCTTTTTGANCTACAGGCTAAATATCAGTACCCTGGGCCTTTTGGTTATTGAGAAGAAGTTGTTTGAAGATTTTAAGACATTTGACCCATGTGACCTTGAAAGTGGGTCAAGGTCATTCATTTGAACAAACTTGGTAGCCCTTCATCCCAGCATGCTTCTGGCCAAATATCATCAGCCTGGTCCTCTTGGTTATTGAGAAGAAGTTGTTTAAAGTAAAAAGTTGACGCCGGACGGACGACGCACCATGCCATAAGTTCACTTGGCCCTTTTGTGCCAGGTGAGCTAAAAACAACGGTTTTATATCTGGTCAACAAAGAAAAAAACAATGCTTTTATATCTGGTCAACAAAGAAAACAAGAGGCCCAGAGGGCCTGCATCGCTCACCTGAATATGTTTAAAATAATTGGTATGAAGTAGGTGCTGTAAGTACATATGAAATTTCAGAAAGATCCATCCAGTACTTGAGATATAGTGAGAACAAACTTCAAACAGAGCCCCACCCCTATGCAACGTAGGGGGGTCATACCCACCAATTATACAAAATTGAGTCCCCTTGACCCAAGGATGCTCCAGACTAAATAAGGATAAAATCCCATAATCCCGATGTCGAAGAAGGATTTTAAAGGTTTTACCTCTATTTCTCCTATTGGGCCCCGCCCTTATGCCCCTTGAGAGAAGAAGTTGTTTAAAGTAAAATATTGACGCCGGACGACAGACGACGGACGCTGCACCATGGCATAAGCTCACTTGGCACTTCGGGCCAGGTGATAAAAACAATGCTTTTATATCTGGTCAACAAAGATAAACAATGCTTTTATATCTGGTCAACAAAGAAAAAAACAATGGTTTTATATCTGATTGTTTAACAGATAAGAGATAACTGTAATTTCATTGGCATATACTGTATATCACTTCATTTGGCAAGAAACTTGTTTTTGCATTAATTTGTTGAGCGAAGTTATCGCAAATCAAATCAATGAAACCACTGAACAAGAAACATTTCTTGTTATTCTCCATGAATTAAATCCTTGTGAATGTATTTCCCAAATGAGCAAAATTAAGTAATAAATATTCAGGAAGAGGGAAGCTATGTAAACTACATTGAAAATTGTAACAGAACATCTTTAAAATGGCAATTACTGAATGACGTCAAGGGAATGAAATTAATGGCTGGACATGACAATAACAAGCCAAAACGGCCTGTACTGCCAACTTGTATATTTCTGCAATCATAAAATTTTGTCAATTCTGGGCTCAGCACCAAATAACAATTGAACTCCAGGTCCATGTCCAAAGTAATCTGGATGTGTTGGAGATTCAATAATATATACATGTGGTTATACTGAGTGGATTTCAATCTATTTGATGTTATGACCACAGAATTTAGTTGCCAAGAGTGGGGAAAGACCCTAAGGCCAAACCTCTACATTATGTTGCATCATTGTGCATTGTCATACCAAGCACGCACATATATGGTTATAGGAATGGGACTTCCAACATTCGAATTTACAACCAAAAGAGCCAAGTCATCTTGAAAGTAGGTCAAGATTAGGTTATATGAGGCTACTTCATTCCAGGGACTTACTGGTCAACCACATCCAAAGGCATTATTGAACTGGAAACCAAGCTGTTTAAGGCTTAGCCCATGTTGACCTTTGACCCAGACCAGTGCCCAAAGATGACATTTGACCTAAACACAATTGATAAGAAAAAAACCAGTTTGAAAATTCTTGGTCTTTATCACACAGAAGGTGGTACAAATCAAAACAGAAACACTGCATTTTAGCAACTGATTAAGATAATTCTCAATGATGACTCAAATACATAACAGAGAAACAAGTATTTACTCTGTCAAGTTGAAGATGATCTAGTAACTTCCTGAAGCCATCACAGAATTCTTTCATGGTCCAGTACACCGGATACTCAACCTGCAATACACAGAAATGTAAGAAATAATCAGTTATCTGTTGTTCATTATACAACAGTTACCTCTTATAACTCTCTGATTCATGTCCCAAAGGTTCCGACTCATGTCCTAAAGGTTCTAACAGAGTTACCTCCCTGTAACACTGATGTAGACTGGTTCCCTCTGTTAGCTCCTCTGCATTATTAGCGAATTGCAGCACTGGAGGGAACCAGTCTACCACAGGTTCTAACAGAGTTAACTCCTGTAACACTGAGGTAGACTGGTTCCCTCCCCCGTTACATGTAGCTCCTCTGCATTATGAGCGAATTGCAGCACTGGAGGGAACCAGTCTACCACAGGTTCTAACAGAGTTACCTCCCTGTAACACTGATGTAGACTGGTTCCCTCCCCTGTTAGCTCCTCTGCATTATGAGCAAATTGCAGCACTGAAGGGAACCAGTCTACCACAGGTTCTGTAACTCTTCATCTTATTACAATCACAAGCATTACGATAACCTTAACTTAAACTTGTCTATTTTTTTTATTTACATTGCTCTTCTACAATTTTAAGTTAATATACATGCTAATACTTTTGCATCAATTTACAGAGAATGTTTTTTGACACATTATCATTTCAGGGTTCTTTCACAATCATGGCACTACACTTCTCTATTTCCTCATCATAGTTAAATCACAATCACTCAATGATGCTCCCAGTTTATGCTGCTTTAAAACATAAAACCCAATACCAGTATCTTTTTAAAATGTCCATAGGAGAAAACTGAAATAACTTACAGGTCCTCAAACACATTATTAAAGATATCTTCACTGTATAATTATGATGTGGCAGTAAACATGCAGTTTTCATATTTTACATTTAACCATGAGATGTGTTTGGCACACTTACACTCCCTTTTTTTACACTGTCACTGTATAAGGTTGATAAATTAATTTGACTTAATATCCTTTCATATAATTCAGTTTCTGTTTTAACTCATTGACCCCTGAAGACGCATTTGAACTCTTCCAACTCAAAGGTTGGAATAGTTCATTATGAAATTTCAGGGGTGAATGAGTTAACGTAGTTGGTGTACGTACAGCTATCACTCTATATCCGTGTGCAGAAAGTGCCAGAATCTGACGAAAGTACACATCAGCAGTCCCACTGGCAGGAGGGAAACAAATCACTGGACATCTGACAGACCTCGGTCCAGCGTCATATAAGGCCCATTCCTTAGATTGGTCATCATCTACAATAAACTAATCAAAAACTAATATGTTAATGCTCCTTCACTTTCATTCTGCGAAATATTACTATATCACAATAAATACATCAGTATATATTTGAAATAAGTCTTTTAAAAAATCAACACATATTGTCATTATGTTTATTCAAGTAAAAAGAATGTTACAAAACTTGATCATATCACACACAGTTAGTAATAATGATAGCCTCAGAACATGTACTGCAGTTTATATACACAATCATCACTAGTGGTCAATAGTTATCACATATAAACATTTGACAAACCATTGCCATGATATCACACAAGATATATTATCAAATTAATATGAGGTTTTACGACATAAATCAATAGATAATCAAAGTTTTTGACCCTGTGATATCCCATGAAAGTTAGCTAACAGCTGGTTTCAATAGCGATCATTGTTCAAGGAAGTTAAAATTATGGACACTGCTTGTACTTAAGAAGCAAATATAATATTTCATTGTCTAAAATATGCATTGCATATATATATATATATATGTGTGTGTGTAATTTATATAATAAGAATTTTATGAGTTAGAAATAACTGGTAAACATTTAGAAAGTTTTACCTTTTTCATAGGAACTGTGCTCCTAAAGCTCTTGTATTCAGCAGAACTGACTATTTCACTCATCATTACCAATAACTTCTGTCCAACATTACAAACTGGAACACAATCAAGAAAAAGAACACATTTTTATAAGCATTATATTAAGTTTAACAACATTCCATACCAAAAGGACCAAATGACACACTGCCTACATATTGTTGTGATTCACATCAGTATGAAAAAATGGGGAAAAATCAGATTTCAAGGATGACCCATTGAATTCACCTTTGTGTAGCAGTTCATACTTCAATGAAGTTTTATTAAATACCACCAATGACATAAAGAAAACTTAAACCTAACATTTGTCGTACATTTGACCTCATATCGTGACCTTACAGAAATGGCCTTATAAAGAAACATGTAGAGCACCACCATGTATTATATGTTGATGAGGTTTCCTTTTTCTATGATAAAGAATCAAAGTTATGCCACAAAATAATTGTGATGCTATAAGATCTTCCCAAATAAAGTACCAGTTTTTGATATTCTATTTTTGATATTCATAATTATGAAAATAAATAAGATCCCATATCAGTAAGGTTAGAAGAGTTACTTCTACAGCATTTATCATTCCGTCACTGTGGACATGTTGGGATGGCAATCAAGAAAGAAAAATGAGTAGATGGGAAAATTACTGATAGGCATATTATAGAAAATGACTCTACTGAATATTAGAAATAGAGAATAGGACTAGACAGGTATGAAGAGGTGTATACAGTCAAAGCTATTTAGTCTTTCAGCCGAAAACCAACTGTCATAGCATCTATGAGATACTAAGATCCACAACTGACAATGTGCCTAGACTTCCTCAAATTTACTTGTACAATGTACTTTACTCAAGATCTAGAAGGACAGGTCAGAATGCCCCCACGTGAAAGATGTCAAGTCAGGAGTATCAGCCACAGGAGATGTGATGCTGTTTCATTGTTTTACTGTATCTTGAAAGAAGCTATTCGTGTTAACTGATTCTGTTGAAGGTATTTGCTGGTGTTTATGTGTGCTGTGGTGTTCATGTTCCCCGTTGCCAGGTATTAGGTATTGACTGGCATCAATAACAACAAGTGAACTGCTGATTTTGAAGAACAATATCAGTCTCACCTTTACCTTGCATGGCTCAAGCATTTCTTAGTCCTAGTTATTGAACTATTGGTAACAAAGCTGGAATTGTGGAATCATTCTCAGCTGCACCACGTCTACCTTATAAAAGAGCAACATTACGCAAGATATATGTATTTGTCAGGAGAAGGGTTGAAGGGTTTGTTTCGGGGGTTTCTGATCCATTTTGTTAAGTCTACAAACTCGGGTTGGAACTGGCAATCCCAGGATTATCATGAAAAGCCAAATTGACCTATATCATAAAGATACTGTACAAAACGATATTTCCTACATTGCAAAAAGATTTGAAAACTTGGTAAAAAAAATCAGTTTCCAAACACTATGCATATCCTTTTAATTCCTGGTGAAGACGGTTGTAAATAACAAAATGTCATCACATCAATCGACTCAAATAATGGAAATTGTTCTTTGCAATATGTTCATGTTGTTTGTTTTAACTTGTCATGGCTAAAACAGGGACCTGTTGTTTTTTATGAAATATACAAAAATAATAAATAAATGCTTTCTTGTTAATTACTAATATTTGATAATTCTAAATAATGGAACCATAATATAAGTTTCTGTGTTTTGCTCTGAACAAGATATATATATATATATGTATGTGTATCTAGTCATCGTAAAGGAGAACAATCAATCTACATTTTACATTAACAGTTGCTGAATGTAAATACATGTATCCAATTTCTGCATTTTCATTTTTGAGTCTGCAACCGATTAAGAATAAAAAAATTAAAAAAAGGCTCCACTTGGCAAGAGCTGGTAACGGTTTAAATTGGTGTAGCGAAACTGGACTGGGTCAATCGTTGGCAACCAGATAGCTAAATTGGTAGAGCGTCCGTCTAGAGTTCAGAGGGTCCCGGGTTTGAACCCTGGTCTGGCCGTGCATGTTTCCTCTCCTGTTACAGTGGTGCCTGTGACCAACCCTTGTTTCAAGCATTTGGAGTATGCTTGACAAGGGGATACCTGAACATTGGTTGTAAATAGTTGTGTAGTCGGGGGGCAAAGACTAAGAAAAAGGAGGGAGGAATGTAGCGGAACTAGACTCGGTAGCTCAGTTGCTAGAGCATTAGTCTAGAGTTCTGAGGGTTTCAGGTTCGAACCCTGGTCGGCCATGCATTTTTCCTCTCCTGATACATTGGTATACATAATCAAATTGGCTAACGATCTTTAACATTATATATGGTTATATACTGTATTATACCGTAACACATATATAGTCATTATGATACAAAATTAAGTATGGTCCATGCAACATATTATAGGGATATATGTACATGTCTATTCCATTGAATTATATAATTTACCAGCGGCTTTCAATACAGAATTGAACCTCTGTGTGCGATGCGATATCGTCTAAAATATTATGAATCACTGGTTGACATCGAGTTAAGCCAATGGATTCTTATGATGTTTGATCTTTGTCAATAAACTTCTGCTGGACACAACTTCCTTCCGGTTGTGCAAGCAGGTTAATTTTCAATAATTGTAGTTAGCTATTAACAATATATATATGTACATTTATATGCAGTTTCTTGTGATCATATATGTCCCCCTTGGTATTATGCTTACTTTTAAACTATTATCAGGTGGTTACACTATTTTATTCAATGAATTAAAATGCGTACAGTATAACTTCATTGAGCATTCACCTTTAGATAGCACCATTCCATGTTAACTAATGTACAAGTTCACTTTATATTAAAATGCAAACAATATATATATAAGTTCCGATTTTTAATAGTGGTCTTTGAATATGACTTATCAGGGGATGGGGTGAAATTCAGGGTGGATATACCATCTTTCAATGGCTTGTTGAATCTTAATTTTTATTGGGCACAATATATTTGGCTATGATGAAAACAGGCGACCAAACAGAATTTTGGAGCCTTTGTGCAGTTTTTTAATCCTACAGTAAGAATATAATCTGTGTTTCTGTGTGAATTATGGTAAGTTTTAGTGGACTATTATCTGTTAACCTAATGTTTAAGTAAAATTATAAATGTATCTAGAGATGGGAGGGTTCTTGTCAGAAGAACTATCAACTATAACTGTTCAATGTTATGCTATATACGACACTAAATAAAAACTCTTGTATCTTGTATCAACAACCCCTGTCACTGAAGTGTCAGCCTGTGTTGTAATCAGCAGATCAGCTGTCAATGATGACATCGGTAAACTAGTCTGCTTTCGTGTATTTTCCGAAAGTCTAGGCAAATTTAATAGGGACGTTATCTGAAAGATATCTCATCCCATGCAAATAGTTTGACTCTTCTTAAATATGTTGGTGACATCGTCGTTTCCTACCAGAAATCGCCTTTCTATCCCTTATGTTTTCATCCTACTTCATCCCGGAAATGGCTGGTCACTTGATCGTACATCTCGTGGTTCGCGTGAAGTAGAACGTGGTTTTGAAGCACGTGATGCGTTGCTAAGTCAAACTATCTCTAATGTCTGAAAGCCGGGAAGTGTGAATACGAAAATGGCAACCGCCGTAAATGATAAAAGAACGGTCATAATTGCTGCAAGGGAGAGAGGTACTTTATAGTCTTACAACCATTTTAATTTTAAAAATGCATAAATCTATGTAAGTATTTACAGTTTCCTTTACGAAAAAACGGATGGATTGTAAAGATAGCATGAGTTTCTCATGAGAAATTTTGACAGATCTATGTTTGACTGCATTCAGCTTGAAAATAATCTGATGCAATAAATAGTATTCTAAATAAAAGCACATCATGACACTAAGCTTTCTTTTCTTTTGAACCAACAGGCCCTGGTCCAGGAAGATATGCCCTCCCATCGTCTATTGGGTTCATGTCCCATGACTGCACCAAGCGTATGAAGCCTGCATACTCTTTTGGGCGAAGATTGTATGACGATTGTAAGTAGAATAACATTTCTTCAATTTAGAGTCTATGAATCTGTTCGTTATACAGAAAAAACGAATACATCTACTTATAAATGTAACATTTCGGGGAGAAAGAAGACCTTGACAGCCCTTGTAAAGCCTCGCCAGTAAACATCATCAGATTACCAGCTTTACTGTAACCTTTTCCCTAAGTGAAAAATTCTGGTCTAAATGTCAACCTGTTTGGAAAAAAAATGTGTTAAATGAAACCTTACTATGACTGTGTGTCTCCTTTTTTCTCCTACTGTAGCAGTTGTATGTAATGATGGAGTGGGATTTTCTACAGTTTTAATGATACGACTCAGGGATGGCAAAGTGACAGGGTGATGCTGACCCAGGGTGCAATCCTGACTGGCAATTTAAATTCATTTTAAAATTTTGACATTTTATGACCTAGGGGCCAATTCACCAGTGCTGGGACTGGACCTAGGGGCCACACTTAATATCATGATTGTGTTCTCTCTTCATGCCAAGCAAACGTATAAGAATTACACAATTGACAAAACCCTGTTGTTATGATAGACACATCCCCTGATGAACTTCTAAAGAGGTCAGGTCAAATTGAAAGTACATGTACTTGTGAATCGCTAAGAAACCCTTTGGATCAACATGAATAAACACATCCAAAGATAAACCTCTAAAGGGGTGAAAGTACTAGAGGAATTACTATGAAACTCTTTGTGTTATTCTATTTCATATTAATCCATCACAAGGAATTTGAAAGTTTTTTTGTAAGGGTATGTGGTGGGGATTGCAACAGATTCCATACTTTTTTGGGACATGGAAGTTAGTCTTCAGGTGTTGGCTAGTACCAGGGCTGATCCATGTAGCAAAAGTTATATACCAGGTTTTAGGATAGCGATCTCAGCCACTTCAAACATCATATTTTAACAGTGTACAGAAGTGATTGCAGTCCAGGACCTGCTTACTTTATTGATCCACGAATCACACGTCATGGAAATGATGGTACACCAGCCTACTCGATGTTAGAGCGTCAACGTGATCCAAGTAAGTTTCATAAAAACAAGAGAAAACTGGTAGACAAACATTATGTATTCAATATTCCAGATTGGTTTTCGAACATTTGCCAAAGTATATGATCTATATAGGAATTACCTCCCTTTGTACATATTCTAAGGCATACAAAAAAATCTTCAGGTTCCTAGTCGGACGCTGTATCACTGAGCTAAAGGGAAATTCCCTCTAGCTCGATGCTAGAAGGCGACCATAATCCTATGTACAATTAAAATCTGCCACACTATATCTAGTTTTCTCTGGACTAATTTCTCATCACAAACATAACGACTTAGGGTAAGAGTTATTTTCTACATAAAATATGGAATGAATTACATTGAGCTAGAGATGAAGAGCTAACCTTAAGGGTGAGAGAAAACAAAAGGATTTGGAATCATGTTTCAAGAACATTTCTTTCCTGATTTTAAACACTGAAATCATGCTTTCAATTAGAAAAAGTAGTTGTTTTCCTTATTGCTTATGTATTACAGGATACATGTAACAAATGATTATCATTAATTAACTGTATACAGAGGATTTATCACCAAAATATATTTTCACTGTGGCTTGTGTGTATAGATTTCAGAATATGCATCACAAGTGTTATAACATCCATGTATTTTTAACAGACCAATAGAGCATTACTACAGGTATCAAAGTGATATAATAGTCATACTGTTAATCTTTACAGACACCTTTAAGACTCCATCCCCAGGAGCTTACTCCCCGGAAAAGGTTCACCCTCAAGGTGAGAGAAACGCAGCCAGATACTCCATCTCTGCCAGAACCCCCTATAGACAGCGGGACCAGAACCCATCCCCTAATAAATACTGCCTGCCCGCTGTCCTCGGTAACAAACAACCAAACAAGCCGGCACCTCCTGCTTACTTCATGTCCAGCAGACAAAATATAGGCAGTTACGTTGAAGATTTGGCTAAGACTCCCGGCCCAGGGCGATACAATGGAACACACCCGGACAGTTACATGGTCAAGTCTCCACTGTATTCCATGAGGAGCAGGAGTTACATGCCTGGAGACAACACCAAGAAGCCAGGCCCTGGACAACACAGCCCTGAGAGGGTCAGCATCAATAAGCAGGCCCCACCAAAGCACTCCCTCGGTATCCGACATTCCGAGTTCATCTGTCCTCTCATTACCGAGTGCTAAATTAACATGGTTTTTCATGTTAATTAATATAGAAGTGCAATATTTTACTTATTCAATTTTATCACTGTAATTTTACAAATGTTACAACTTACATCAATTCAATATTTTCCATGTGCTTGAAATTTGTAATAGTAACTTATCAGTCAACTACCAATAGAAAGAGTAAACACCTTCATACTGTGATTTATACAATTAACCACCATTTACACATGATTACAATGTCATACATCAAATTATTATTTTTTAATAAAATATAAATAAAATAAGAAAATAAGATGGATACACATACTTTTTTGTTGTCTTAATGTAGACTTGACATTGTTCTAACAAGAGAGACATCCAATAACACTGTGATGTCAGGTGCTAAAAATCTGGATACTCGGGGTAAGATATGCCCAGGACAAACATTAACAAAAGTAAAGGTCAAGTCAAAGGTCACAGTGATCTAATTTTTGCACTCTCATTCCACCATCCCAAGATGTCCTTGTTCACAAAATCTGGTTACTCCAAGTGAAATATTATAGAAGATATGCCCTAGACAATTATTTACAAAAGTAAAGGTACAAGGTCAAGTCATAGGTCACAGTGACCTTATTCTTGCAATCTGCACTTCACCATCCAAAGATGTCCTTTTGCTTTTTCTTGCACTCTGCCATCCAAAGATGTCCTTTTATACCAAATCTGGTAACTCCAGGTAAAATAGTAAAGAAGATGTGGCCCTGACAAACTTTTTCGAAAGATAAGGTCAAAGGTCAAGTCATGTCAGTAACTTAATTCTTGCACTATGCACACCAAATCTGGATACTCCAGGTGAAATAGTATAGAAGATATGTCCTGGACAAATATTTACAAAAGTTAAGGTCAAAGGTCAATTCATAGGTCACATTTACCTTTTCCTTGCACTCTACACTCCGCCATCCCAAGATGTCCTAGTACACCAAATCTGGTTACTCCAGGTGTAATAGTATAGAAGAAATGTTCCGGACAAACTTCTCGGACTGAGGGAGTGCAAACCTATAGTCCTTGTAAAGCACTATTTTGTTCACGAAATTTGGTGATCATATACAAAGTATTTGAAAAAATACTCTGGAAACAGCTTTTACTTGGTCGATATCACAGGTTAAAATTTAGGTTGCAAGTGATCTAGTTTTGGTTCACAACACTCAACTTTCCACAGATGTGCCAATTTTGATGATCCTGAACCTGGTATAGGAAATGACTCCTAAAATAATTCCATGGTTCATGACAACCACGACATGTCTGCTAAAACCATATCTGGTCCAATATGACATAGATCTTTAATTCAACTTGTAACTGTTTTTTGGTGAAGAAAAAGATGTAATCAATTTTGTGTGTATCATAAAACATTTGTCCTGGTAGGATTTTTTTGGGAAAAGCAAGTGGCAGATTTAACTATATGGAAAGTTGAGGAAAATGTTCACCATTCCATTTAGTTTACCTGGTCATCATTTTTATACTACTGTTTCTTAACAAACAAGAGAAGAAATACTGTATATCAAAATTTATTTGTCAAATCCAAAATGTTCAAGCATGAAAAAAACTTTCATACAAGTATTTACAAAAAGAGAGGAAGAAAAAAGAAGAGAGAAATAGAACCTGAAGACTAGACAATGAGAATGGGTAAACAGTGTCTGATCATGTATCTATACAGAATTTAATTACCAGTCCGTATAAAACACAATACAACTGAACCATTAAATTTTTAAATCTCTATTTTCAAAAATACTTTCTGACAAAACTTATTTTAAACACGTTATAAATTAATTCTCATATGAACATATAGTTAATGAAATGCATCTTCAAGTTTGAATAAAAGCAGACAGAGGTAGATGATAAAAGAGTAAAGAACCTGAACAAAAATGAAAAAAACAGGAAAATTATGACCATACTAATAATTTCTTATTTGTAACATATAATAATAATAGCTTACATCCATTGCCCGTCAACTTTCCATCAACATCAGGAATCAACAATATTTGGCTATAAAATAGATCTATTTAACACCCCACAAAGTACATACCCATTGTCACTCGAGTATGATCAGTCGGCATTGGGTAATACACATGTACATGTTACAAGAAACATATTATCCCCATGGCGGACTCGGCCCAAATATAAATGCCAAATGATTTCTCTGGCACAGCAGAGAATTTACATGTTTAACACTGTTCACAACTTCACATACACAATGACAAACAGGATATTGTTTCAAAATAACCACCGAAGTCTTCAACAAAATTTCTTTTCTATACGATTAATTTTTACATTACGTTACAGTGATCAACCTGCAATTACTTTGTTTGGGTCTTTTTCCACTGTATGGTTTAAAGATGTATGGGTACCACCATGTTAAATTTCAGTATTTTCAGAAATTTTATGTCAAATCGAAATTCTATGGGTACACTTGTAACAGGACCCAGGACTCGCATGTAGATTAATCACTGGGGTTATCTCAAGATTATTAAACAGGAAATTTAAAACCAATGACCACTGTTTTTCTTTTATAAAAGTGTTTCTATCCCATGCCAGTGAAAAATCTGAATTTTGAAAAGATTAAAAGATATACAGATAGATGCCAAAACCACCCATACACAAAATGAGCTAATGTTCACAATATAGATTTTTCTTTCAATACAACAAATCCAGTTTACTGATGAACCTACCTATAAACTTCTACTTTAACAGGGAGTATCTGCTAAAGCAGTCAACGCTGAGTACGAGCAGAGTTATCTTCACACACGTAAATCTGCTCTACGACTTTTTATACAAGGACACTTGATATTCACATACCAGGTATACAACACACATTCAGAGCAGCATCAATCATAATTGTATTTAGATTTTATAATCATTGCATGTATAACAAAATGATATGGAACAGTACACGTTGATATCACCAGGGTAATGTCCCGACCTCTGGCAGATGTTAATTAGTGGTCTGATACTAATCTATTTACTCACTGAATAACTTCATTTACTAGCACATATTAGTGATTTTAGTGAAAAATAACAACCTGTAGTATTTGCACGGAACCCTTAAAGCACATGTGCAACCATATATTGATACATGATATGACTGCATTTTCTGTTTGGCGTTTCATCTCGTCTACATTTCATTGCCATGTTTGAAAACAGAGCTTCTCTTGAGAGTTCATACTACAAAATCATTCCTTCACCTTTTAACTTGATCTAACATATGTTTGGCGATAAAAACAATCACCCACAGCACCAGAATCACCATGATTAATTCCGAAATAACAACAATACTGTTATACCTTCACTGAACATATTACACTAGTAAAATATTCGCATTTCGTCCCAACATATATCTATCACATAAAGTTCACACTCCCCTCTGCAGAAAACATCCCATGAGTGCCTATCATGGCCATATTCCTCTTTCATACTACATACATCTCTACAGAACAATCTGCCTATTTGAATCACAAGGTATCAAGTATTAATATTTACATGTCACCAACACAAGTTTACTTATGGATTTACTATGGATATATATTTTTTGATGTCATATGCTGTAAAATTAAATGGTAGACTATAGCTACAGAATATTAGAAAAGGTTCAAATCACCATATCTTTACTTCTTTTGAATTCTTATGTAAATGTATTAATTTAAAATTCATCTATATTTCAGCAAATACAAATTAATATTATCCAAACCAAACCTTTTAAAAATTGTTTTTTTTTCTCATATATTCTGTAGATAACTTTCTCAGAAAACTTCTGTAAATATTTTGAATAGGTATTCAGTCTAAAACATCTGAAATGACTCCATGTTTCTGCTCTTTAGCATCCATTTACTGAGTTAGATTTCTTCTTCAGGAAGGTCTGTTCTTGTGATGCCCGAGAGAAGGGCAATGAGGTATGGCGTGTAATGAGGGATGAGCTTCATGATTATGACAATGAAAATGATAACACAGTAGATTCAAGTATCAGCATCAATATCAGTTGCTTGTCTGCATCATTGGAAGGCCCCTCCGAAACAGAAGAATGTGAGGTTCTGAAAATCAATAATACATTTTGTGTAAATAAACATGCAAACAGAAAGCTTTCCATAAATTGATATACCAAAGAATGTTCACATCCTATCATATGTTTATACCTAAACATACCCTGAAAAAGTAGCCAGTTCAAAGTTGATGATTAGTGGGTAGTCGGCTTTTAATGAGAACACTACTCTTCACATGTACATTATCCAGTGCACCTCCAGACACTGGTAACCCTGTTATGACAAATCTGCTCGCCGATATCCGAATTTTTAAACGTTTGACGAGTATATTCCGACAACGTGATTTATTTCAAGACTTATTTTTTATATTAGTTGTGCGTTAGGAAATTAGACGTGCGTCAATTATATCCGGACAAATCCTGAGGAAATTAGAAGGTCGTCAATTAAATTTCCACGACAGCCTTGTTATCTAACTCACCAATTAGACTGACGATCGACTAGGGGCACAGCGGGGGGACTTCACACCTCACCGCACAAGTAGCTCTTACCTGTCATGGATCGCTACGACAGCCCGCTTCCGCGGAACAGTGTACACAGCAGGGGACTTCACGCATCACCGCACAAGTATGTTTTACCTGTGCTGGAGTGCTATACGACGGTTCGCTACCACGGTATCGTTTCAAGTGTACGGGGNTGGAATGCAGACTGATGTGTTTTGTTTACCGACCTCACCTGTACGTATCACGTGCTAACAGTAGTTCACAAGCTCTTGGTCGCTACGACTTTTGTTGTCGAGCGAGTTACGCTCTGTCAGATAAATCGGTTCACAAATGCAATTACAATAACTCTGTGAAAATAGTGGTTTGTAAAATATCAAGATCCCTATAAAATGCAAGTGCATGTGCGTGCACGTAATAACGGCATACCATGCGATAGCCTATGGTTACATATGTACCTGACATGTTAATATACCATGCGTAAGCAGGCTATGGAATGATGTCCAAAGTGTACATGATTGAGAGTAATTTTGTTCCATAAAAGAACAGTAAATTGACAAATAAATATAGTAATTTAATTTATTTCCGTCGTTTTTGGTATATTAAATAAAATAAGTGTCATTGTATAAATTCTATCCCTCTGCAAAAAGTTCCGATTTTTTTCAAGGTAGACAACTCTCATCAGGATCAAAATAATTGTAAAATGTAAAATAAATTAATTATAAAGACTTTGTGTGTATTTGGTTCAATTTTTCACTCTTTTTGTATGTAACTATGTGTCCTGTTTGATTTTGGCTTGTATTTTGTAACTTTT